TGCTAAAAATTTATATAAAATTTACTAAAAGTTTATATAAAATTTACTTAAAGTTTATATAAAATTTACTAAAAATATGTATAAAATTAACTAAAAATTTATATAAAATTTAGAAGAAATTAATATAAAATTTACTTAAAGTTTATATAAAATTTACTAAAAATATATATAAAATTAACCAAAAATTTATATAAAATTTAGAAGAAATTAATATAAAAATTACTAAAAATTATATAAACGTTACTAAACATGTATATAAAATTTGCTAAAAATTTATATAAAATTTACTAAAAGTTTATATAAAATTTACTAAAAGTTTATATAAAATTTACTAAAAATATATATAAAATTAACTAAAAATTTATATAAAATTTAGAAGAAATTAATATAAAAATTACTAAAAATTATATAAACGTTACTAAACATGTATATAAAATTTGCTAAAAATTTATATAAAATTTTAGGAAAGAAATTAATAGTAAAAATTACTAAAAAATTATAAACGTTACTAAACATGTTATATAAAATTTTGCTAAAAATTTATATAAAATTTACTAAAAGTTTATATAAAATTTACTTAAAGTTTATATAAAATTTACTAAAAATATGTATAAAATTAACTAAAAATTTATATAAAATTTAGAAGAAATTAATATAAAATTTACTTAAAGTTTATATAAAATTTACTAAAAATATATACAAAATTAACCAAAAATTTATATAAAATTTAGAAGAAATTAATATAAAAATTACTAAAAATTATATAAACGTTACTAAACATGTATTTAAAATTTACTAAAAATTTATATAAAATTTACTAAAAGTTTATATAAAATTTACATGAAGTTTATATAAAATTTACTAAAAATATATATAAAATTAACCAAAAATTTATATAAAATTTAGAAGAATTTAATACAAAAATTACTAAAAATTATATAAACGTTACTAAACATGTATATAAAATTTGCTAAAAATTTATATAAAATTTATGTTGAATTTATTCCAAGTTTATATCAATTTTATTATAAATGTACAATTGATTTTTGTTTTAATAATATTTTATTTACAGTCTACACATTTACTGAGTATTGTAATTTATAATTGATTAAATAAATTGAAGATCTGAAAATACCGAATTTTTATAAATTTACAGCAAATTTATTCTTCATAATTTATAGTAAATAACATTGAATTTACTATAAAATCACAACAAATTTAATATAAACTTACACGGAATGTATTATAAATTTAAATCGCATTTACTAAAAATGTACATCATATTTATAATAAATTTAATTGTAAAATTTATTTAATAATCAACTATAAAGCATCCAAAAATTTGATTGTCGTCTTAAATCAGTTTCTAGTTATTTTAGTTTTTCGGATTTGGTTTTAAAGATTAAAGGATTTTGTTTGAAGCATTTGCTTTATGCTGACGTTATTTATGTTTATTATACATTTTAATATAAATAAACATTTTTATAATGTTTTTTGCGTTATTTTATTATTTTTTTTAATCTTAATTAAATAAGAAATTGTGTTATCAAATTTCCTGTGGGGATTTGCTGTGTTATTTGCTTAAAGGCGCATGAGCCCAAAACCAGTTTAAACTTTTAATGTGAAACTCCTCCTTATATTCACATTGGCTGAAGAAAGAAGAGAAAGACTAACAGCTTGCCGTGCGCGCCAAACAAAGACAACAGAAATACCCGTTGCCTCTTGCAGAGAATAACAGCTGAGCAGAGTGCACAAGTCTCAGCTGAAAACAAATCGAGTTTAAAATTCATATACAACAAATCGTTGAGAGATTGCTGGTTCAGTCAGTATTTAGATCTCGTAGCCTGTAGAACAGTGCAAGGTCGGTTTAAAAAGAGTTTTAAAAAAGTATTTAAGAAAAAACAAAAAACTGAATTATTAAAAAACTGTAAAACAAAAACAAAACAAACTTCACTATGCCACGTCCGTTGAAAGAAAGTTATGGTGATCAGAAACCACCATTCTCATATATATCTTTGACAGCAATGGCTATTTGGAGTTCACCACAGAAAATGCTACCACTCAGTGAAATCTATCGCTACATAATGGAAAAATTCCCGTATTACCGTAAAAATACACAAAAGTGGCAGAATTCATTGAGACACAACCTGAGCTTCAACGATTGCTTCATAAAAATACCACGCAACACCAACAAATTGGGCAAAGGTTCATACTGGACGCTGCACCCAAAAGCCTTCGGCATGTTCGAGAATGGCAGTTTGCTTCGCCGTCGGAAACGGTTTCGGGTAAAGAAATTGGAAAAAGACATTTTAAATGGTGAAATTGCAGCGCTAGCCAGCTTCAACAGATACTTTATGGCACAGCAACAAAATGAAATACATCATAGCAGTTGGGATTTGGCACCTAATAATGTCTATTCTACAATGAGCCCACATATGTGTGTACTACCTGTCAGCCCGTCGCCAGAATATGCACAAAGCTCCAGCCCTTCTTCGCACTCATCAGAAGCTTCAATCGAAGTTGAAAAGTTAGTCCCCAGCACACACCTAAGCAGTACTACATTTAATTCAAGTTCGAGGCCAAAGCGTTCATTCACAATCGAAAGCTTAATCGGTCCTGATCATGCAGAAGTGACTGAAGTAAGCAAACCGAGTATCAGTGAGTTAAGAAGACCCGATATTGCAATGAATCTGCATAATGCATCCACATTTGGTATACATAATTTTTCAACCGTCAACCTACAACACATTTTACCTACCCAATACTCCTTGCAACAACAACAACACCAACTCGCATACGTCCAACATCACCACCAACAGCATATGGCGGCCCACTATCAGATGCAAACCGCTTCAGCGGCCACAGCAGCAATTTTAAGCGAGCAACAAAAACACCAGCAACACCAACAACTGCAGCAACATCAACAGCATTTCATCAACACCTACTTGGGACCACTACCAGTTTTCTAATCCACGCAAAGTGTGTTCCGATCCCGTAGACGTGAAAGCTTATGTTCGTGAAAATTGTGATATTTTTGTTTGGAAGTCGCGATGGACTTCGCTTGTTTAACCCTTGCGTTACAAAAAACAAAAAAAGATGATTAAGTTCATTATCTAATGTATATAATGTATAAACTATATAATATGCCTATCTGGTGTGTACTGTATATATGTGTACTATAATATTTATTTAGTTGCCAACTGATTTGTTCCTGTAAATGTTTTGTGTTTTAACAAAAAAGCTTCTCCCCAAAACTCCAATGTTTCCTTTCCAAAAACAGTGTTCATAGAAAACATCGAGGAAGACTACTCTGTAAACAATGACCCAATAATGCCTGCGGTATTGTTAACTATATTTTCTGTATTATATGTTAGGGACCGACGTTATTTATTAAGTATTGTGTTAATTAATATATAAAGCCAAATATAATTTAAATAAATATGTTAATAAAAAAATAAACAAAATGAAAACATATATTCGGTGTTTTGTAAATAATAATTTTGTTGAATTAATGGATCATTTCGGTTAAGCGATGCTCAAATAAAACGAAGAAGGTAATAAAATTCGATTATGAGGATTGTCTGAATTCCGTACTTTGGCATTCATTAATTTTATGACGAAAACTCGCTTTTAATGGAGGAGATTTTTGTATTCACGTTTGCTATTCAAAATAAAAATTAATAATATATAGCCAAGCATATTAAAATACATATACAAATGGAACATGTCTCTGGGTTATTCAAAATGGATTAGTAGCCTTATAATAAAAATAAACATGTTTATATATTTTGAAAATAAAAATTAACAATATATAGCAAGATATATTGAAATATATATAAAAATCTCTTTAGGTCATTAAAATGGTTTTAGTACTCTCACAATAACAATAGACGTACTCATTTAGTAACCTATTAAGGCATATAGGCTAGTATTGAATTATTGCAAAGTTTTTACCGTCAAAAAAAGTAATTTTTTTAGAGCAGATATAAATCCAGAAATAGGAAAACGAAAAGGTTTAAAAAAAATCGTAGATATTCCATTGTACAACTATTCATAAATAATATATTTTAGAAAATATATATGGTCTTAAGTTTCAAATTTAGATATATGTAGTACCCTTTCAAAGAAATAAAAATAATAATAATACTTATAGAAGAATCATTTTAAAATAACAAGAATAATATTATATTCAGTTTTTCACAATGTCTTAGTGCATATACGACAGACAATAGTAGATAAGGGTTTCTCAGCATCGTCGAAAGTATACAACGGTTTATAGTTCTTCATTTTTTTTATATTGTCATGGTACATAAACAACATATAGTGACATCATGGTTTTACAACATCATTATAAGTTAACAACGGTTTGTAGTTGTTAATTTTTTTTATATTGTCATGATAAATATACAACGTATAGTGGTACATCATGATTTTACAACATCTATTGTAAGTTTACAACGCTTTGTAGTTGCTCATTTTATCATATACAGATTACAGATTATAACAATAATAATAATATATAATATTATAATAATAATATAACGTATAGAAATCAATCATTTTTTACAATATAATTGTAATCATACCAGATGATTACTTTATTACGATATTGTTGTAACTTTACAACATTTTCTAGTTGTTCATTTTTTATAAAATGTCAATGTACATATACAGCGTATAGTAGTAGATTATTATTTTACAATATCGTTCTAAGTTAACAACGCTTTATAGTATATCTTTGTTTTATAGTATAGATGTAAGTATACCACTATTGTAGATCATTGTTTTACAACAGCATTGTAAGAATACAACACTTCGTAGTTAGGCCGTTTTTCATAATGTCAGGACACATATACAACGAATAGTGAATCATAATATCGGTATAATTATAAGAAAACTCATATATGGTAATGATAGACTTTTTTTTATGATGATCAACTAGAAAAAAATGATCGAATAATAATCAATAAATAAATGAATGTCTCATGATAATTAGACTTTCAGATGATATATATTAATATATGTAGGTGTAGAAAAATTTAATATATTTTGTGATTTTTACTTTATTATTATTCTAAATTGCAATTATGAAGAAAGCAAATTTAGATTATTTAAAATTAGTGTATATTTTGAAAGAATTGCAAAAATACAATAAAAATATTTTTTTAGGAGATGGCAGCTATAGTGTGAGACTTGAACCCACTACATTCAACGAGATCTCAACCATCAGACTACAAAAGTCTTTTGGCTAAAAACGCTTAACAGTAATCGAGAGGTGAAACAAAACAAACTTAGTATTTAAAAATCCAAATTTATCTTAGCTAGAAATAAAAAGGTGATACATGTATGTCAGTTTTGGGTATTGATGGATATTACAAAAGGTTTAAGACTCTTTATGTATACTCTACAAAGCGGGTTGATATATCCGCAGAATAGCAATAACGGAATTTTGTGGCGATATAGAGAGCAAAGGATTCGGGAAGTATCTAGAAAGAAGTTTTCAGAAGCTTAGTGGGAAGTTCTTCGATATGCAAAATATCAAGAGGAACATTAAGACAATATGTTACATATCTGAGTAACGAACTCGAACTCGAAAAATAGTAATGGCCATTCGGCTTGTGCTTGTAGTTGACACAGTCACAGATGACTTTACTCTCAATATGGCTAATCATGGGTAAAGATGTTAGAAGCTTAGTAACATATTTGAGTTTTCAAATTTATCTAAGCTAGGGGTGAGAACGTAATGAACGTTAATTATGGGCGATGATGGGCGTTCACATTATCATTACTGCGACTTCTTAGGTTGTACAGTTGTACAACGGACTTCAGTGGAGGGGAGCGATCCATCACGTAGAAATATAGATTGGAGCGATGTGTTGGAGAGGCCTGTAGGAAAGAACTTAGAGAAAATCAGTAGGAAATTCATCGGTGTGCAGAATATCGCAAGGCGAAACATATTTCAAGCAGCACGATAATATTAACTATTAGCTAATTATTACTAATAACAGCTAATATTCATTAAAATGCAAATTTCATTTATTTACATTATTCATGTATATATTATTGTATATATTATTGTATATATTATTGCATAATATATAATATAAATGATGGAAAAATATTAAAAGAATTGTAGAAATAAATTTATAAGTAGCTTAAAGGGAATCTATAAAACTTTTCATTTCAAGAATATAAGACTAAGAAGCAAATAATATATATTGTAATATATATGTAACTTGTAGTATTAAATGGATTTGCAAATCTTTTAAATTCAAATATGTATGAATACTAATAAATAATATAGTATGTCCTAAACAGATAATACGTCCTGGAAAGCAAATCTACGAGTGGTTAAAATAAATACATGGATCTGTAAATCTTTAAGGTTAAGAAAAAAGCACAAAGTTTAACATATATCATATGTTCATTCTAATCGTACTGAACATAACATTTTTTTTTGTTTTCCTGATTATTTATAGAACTTCAAATTTACCACTGTCCACTGTTAAGTCAATAAACATTCTCTTATTATTATTAATATTTAAATATATAAAAACTGATTATTGGGTTAATATATTCCTTCCGAAATTGTATGGTATTTATCTTCTATTCACCTTCATACAATATTTAGTAAAGTGGCATTTATTATCTTTACTTTTAAACTTGTTTTATGTTCTGAAGACTATAAATTGTCGTTGGAGACATTGACGTATTTTATGCCTTTTCTTTGCCTGCGTTGACGGATATACTAACTAGGACTAACTTTTTTTTTCCAAGTTTCATGACATTGAAGTAATGATTTAGTAACAAAGTTACTAGAATCTAGCAGCTTTTTAGCTTTATGATACTTTTTGTACATTTATTTCAACTCTGATTATTATATATGAAATCAGTAATAAATTTTTGCTACTCTTAACTAGATAAATATGAAAAAGATAGGTGAATATAAGGAATCCAATTATTCAAATAAAAATACAAAATACAACTTAGTTTGTCGGGTCTAATTATTAGTATTCATTGGATTGTAACATTTTTATTTCATCATAAAACATTGGCATATATTCTAGTAAAATAATTAATAAATATTTTATATTAGTAAAAACTAGTAATATGTTATTGACTACTTTAGTGACTTTATGCTGATTAAAGGTCCATCAGAAGAAATTTAGATTTCCGCTTTTATATACCTTACATACTCTAAAATTGAGGTCTGGGCTTAGCTTAGCCAATCTCTTCAACATTTTCTATTGCAATCCAATGTTTTGAAACTATAACTGGGGTATGTTCTTGGTTTGATTCAACCGATCTCTTCACAATGTCATCCATTTAGTGTTTAGATATTAAACCCAGAAATTACCCTATATATTACCCTATATAATTCAACATATATAGGATAATTTTTGTATTTATTATATAAACACTAAATGGATGACATTGTGAAGAGATCGGTTGAATCAAACCAAGATCATACCCCAGTTATATTTATGTGCAAAATAAGGTATACGAGCAAGGATTTAGAGGCTCAAATTCTTTATAGTGATATTATATAAAGATTTTTTTTAAAGTTTTTATTTTTTTTATATAGAAAATATATTAGTTTAATATAATAGAAATATTATTATATTAAATACAATGTATATAGATAATATTATTACATTATGTATACGAGATGTAATCAAAAAATAACGAAAATTTTTAATGTTTTCAAAAAGTATTTCTATTCGAAATGATTTCTTTTCGAAGGACATAAAACTTTTAATTAATAAGTATTTATTTAATTGTCAATGTTTAATCCAACCCTCTTTGATATTTTGCATTTGTCTCACTGTAGTTTCTATTTTCAGAAACACTATTAGAATGTCCTTTAGAAAAGGTCTTAGCATGTTCTCCGATTTCCATTTTATATCATATACTGAGTATTTAAGAATAAACTTGTTACTTTCTTATAACAGGAAACTGGACTCTTTTATAGGAAACTGGACTTTGATAGATGTAAAGTTTCTGAATAAAAAATGTTCGCAAGATAATAAAGTAATGATATACGAAAAATAAACCAATTAAAATATAATTAAAATTTGGAGCAAAATGAAACTTCCCATAAAAATAGTCAACAATTGCATCAAAGATCAACATTTCACGTCTGTAACTCTGAATACATTTAAGTATAAAAATGGATTGGGTATCAAATTAAAAGGATTTTATTGAAATTGGTGTAAGAGCTGCTTTAAAGATATTAATATTAATAGTTCTTTAACTAAATGCCTTTTTTATATAGATATCTTCTTAACACTTTGTATCTTGGTTAATGCTAACAATATAATTCAAGATAATACAATATTATATTATAAATTATATAGTATATAGAAAACATACTAAGCTCAAGACATCACGGCATGTGGACTGTTCAACAAATATAAATACTGCGACTTCGCTGACTACGTCAAATTGTGAGTATTAAAGACGTTGGTCTAGTTAGAAAGATTTTTGGAAGCAGCTAAAATAATAAGGTCTAGAGAAACACCGGTGGTGTGATAAGAGAACTTGACTTACGAAACTGGACAAGACGCATGACCGCCTGAATAAGAGTATTGCCTTAGAAACTCTAAATAGGGTTGTTAAGGCACAGTAAATATGTAAGTAAGATCCCTTAAATATAGAATATAGAAAATAAGAAATATAATAAAAAATATAGAATATAGAATTATTTGTGATTAACATAACTAAAAATTATATATAATATATATTTATACATACATCAATTCTGTGATAATAATGTGATAACAGTTGACGGCATTTACAAATTTAGGTCTGAAAGAGTATAAATATTTACTCATTCTAATAAAATTCGAAGTGTCTTCTTCTTCTTCTTCTTTTAAAATCCTCAGAGCCGAATAATTGGAATCGCGCATAAATTTTATATTCAGATTTATTATTATATAGATTATTTATATTATATAGATTATATAGCTTAAAACTTATTTTAATTTAATTATAGACAAAAGTTTTAGAAAAACAAAACCATGCCTAAAATTAAAAACTTCATATGACTATATAAAATAAAGTTAAAAAAACTTTATAAATATAGGGTATTTAGTTGATGATTAAATTTTTCATTAAATCGACACAAAAATAGCACAACAAACGTTATTAGTGTAAATTAAATAATTATTTTAGTTAAAATTCAATTTGTTGAAATTTTCAACAAAATATAAATATATTTTAATAAACAATTTAAAAAAAATCAGTGAGAACAGATTATCAATTATTTATTTAATCTTAAAGCTAACTAAAAATAAATTGTTTGAATCTCTTATTCCAAAGATATGTAAATGGTATTTGGGTGTGGCTTTATCGATAATCAGTGAAATAATGGTAAACGTCCATTTAATTTCTTTTTCGGCCACTTTTAAATTTGAACTGTTAAAGCAGATTACGTGTTTGCTGGTTTTGTCTAATTAAAAAAGTCAAGAATAATTCAGGAGCAATAGTAGAATTTGAATAAAAATGATTATGTTATTTAATGTTTTTTTTCTATAAATATTTCTTCACATATAATTTTTCAAAAATTTTAAAATTCTTATTAAATTTAAACTTTTTGCAACACTTCACATAAATAAAAAAAACAAATTGATGTATTCCAGAATTAAAGAAAAATTATTAAATTTATTGCCTTGATAATTCAATAACTTGATTAAGATGTAATAATACAAGTCAAATAATTTTAAAATAATAAAAATATTTCATATAAACAACAGCAAATTTTAAATCAAACAAATTATGTGTAATGGTTAATATAACGAAAATCCTGATCTACTAATAATATTACAATAATAACAAAAAAATTCTTGGCAACTCTACAAACATTTATTGTCGTACAATAAATTAGTGCATTACATTTCTATTCACCGCTAGGTGACAATGCAAACAATTTCTACTTTGAACCTTACACAAAATTTAAATTATTTTTTAAATGTTTTAAAACGGATTCTACTTTATTAATAATTTATAAACTTAATTATAATTACTTTATGCAATTTGTAGTAGTACACATATGTGTAGATTTATAAATAAATGCAATAAATAAGTAATGATCGTTTATATTATTTTGAATTATATTATATTTAAAACAAAACTTCAAATAACTGTAATGAAAATAACTTATATATTTAAAACAATCAGTGAGAACAATATTTATTCATACTCCAAAGAGTTATAAGAAAAATAACTTTTATATATAAAATAATTAAATGGGTTGACAACAAACAACAAAATAAATGTTATTAGTCTTAACAATATTAGTGTAAAGTCATGTGTAAATATTGTCTTAATAAAAATTTAAGAGTCAGATATAATATTTTGAGTATAATTTATACATATTGAAATTAACACTGTATATAATCTTTATTTAATGAAGCTTTTCTTTGTCTGAAGTAATATTTTATGAATATACATGAAATATTCTGACAAGCTTCATATCTCTGTAAAATTTAATGCATATTTGTTTCTATCATTTATTGTTTTTATGAAATAACCGCACTACCGATTTACAGAAATATAAAATCTCTTCGGTTTTCAATAAAACAACCATCAGTAGTTTTTATAACGATTAAATTCAAAAATTGAAGCGTTTGAAAATAATAATAAAGATATGTAACTAAATCACCACTAAATTAAACAAATTAATATATTTTACTCTACTTTTAGTTAACTTGTTCTTTTAATTCTTTTAAAAATTTTGTTGCTTCTGTTTTACATGAAAACAAAATCTTCTCATTAAAACGTAAACATAACTTTTGGAAGAATAGATACATATAAATTGTACATAAAATTGTTTGTTCCACCCAAAATAATATTATTGAGTAGAATTAACGGTAGAACATATAATGAAATATATGTTGATGCATGTTATAATTTTTCGTTTCAAATTATTAAAAAAATCGTAGATCGTAACAGCATACCATAATTAATTAATAATGATAATTAATGAAATTTTTGTTTATGCAATTTCACTAACTTTTGGTAAAAATCTCTTCATTTATATTAAGAATTTAGTTTCTTCCATGAAAACAGGCGTTAATACTATTAACTTCCATAGTGAGATTCAGAGAACAAGGTTAAGTTAATCTGCATTTTTTATGTACACTGTTTACATTATTCATTGGAGACTAATTTTTAAAATTAATTAAATTAAAAAGATTGTGTATTTATTCAAATATTAAATTTGTAGTTAATTTTGTAAAATAATTATGCTACATTTTTCGTAATCAATAGTATTTTTTCGTGTACTTCTGTTAACCTTTTTTTCATAAACTGTAAATGTAAAGGGCTTGGCAACCCTGGCCTGATGAACCATCGCACTTCGTTGTTAGTCGTCTACGCCATTGAAGCAATTCCACTTTGTTCGTAAAGTTTCAATGAAATAAATTAGTTAATTTGTAAAAAAGATTAAATGAAATATTAATAATTGTTAATTTTATTTGTTCTATAATTAATTGCATGTCTGTTAAATTAAGTGATTGTGGGTTACGTTTAATAAATTGAAATACTTTCACTTTGCATCGTGAAAAAATGAGCACCGAAGAAATTCTTTTTGTCCACTGGAGTACTTAAATAACTGCATTTACAACGGCAACACACCCGTAAAGAAAGCAAGCAGCGTCAACGCATTGGTTTCGATAAAAGATTTTGTTGCTTGCATTTTATAAGTTTCGTTATTGTTGTAAAAGAAAAAAGAACGGATATTGGAATATTTAAAATAGAATTTGCAAGTGCCTATCCTGCCCCTTGATCTCTCTCTTTTTCATCCATTTTGTCATTACAATGTTTAGTATCAGTGAGTTATGTTGCATGTTTTGTTGTCCACCATGTCCGGGACCGATTGCTGCCAAGTTGGCCTTTCAACCGCCTGAACCCACCTATAAGTTAACTCCAGCTGACGATGCCAATGTTAAGTACAATTTGCATTTGTTTGATCGTGCCGAATGGCAATATTCAGAACGTGATAAATCCAAAGTTGAAGCATTTTTTACACGCACATCTCGAGGAAACCTAATCACTTGCATTTATGTACGTTGCAGTAAAAACGCTAAATATACACTACTATTTTCGCATGGAAACGCTGTTGACCTAGGACAAATGAGCAGCTTTTATATATCACTTGGTTCACAGTTGAACTGCAATATATTTGGTTATGACTATTCGGGTTATGGGATGAGTGGTGGGAAACCGTCTGAAAAGAACCTCTATGCTGACATCGAAGCTGCTTGGCAAGCTATGAGAAATAGGTAAATAAATCAGTTGCAATCTGTCTAGTTAAACCTCATTAATTCGGAAATTCTGGTTCCAGATTTAATATTAGTCCAGAAACAATTATACTGTATGGGCAAAGTATTGGTACTGTGCCTACGGTAGACTTAGCAACACGCCATGAAGTGGGAGCGGTTATATTACATTCTCCATTAATGTCTGGCTTAAGAGTTGTTTTTAGGAATACAAAACGTACATGGTTCTTCGATGCTTTTCCAAGGTAAAAGAAATTTTTGCAAACAAAGAAATATATTTTAAATCTTAAATTATTCCGCAGTATTGATAAGGTATCTAAAGTGAAATCCCCTGTATTAGTAATTCACGGAACTGATGATGAAGTAATTGACTTTTCACATGGCATTGGCATTTATGAACGTTGCCCAAAAGCAGTAGAACCTCTTTGGGTTGAGGTAATTAGTCATTTAAAAACAGATAATATCTATGCACGTGTCAGTGGTAACTGGTACATGTAAACAATTGATAGATCAAAACAAATCAGCAAGCTTTCTGGCATTATGTAGATGTTTATTAATAATTACTAATATATTTAAATTCATAGTGTATGTGACAATATATGTATATATAAAAACTATTAAAAGAAAACATTTTAATTCTCAGTATGTAATTTACATTTTCTGTTTTTCTTACTTTAAAAACAGAAGTTCAAAAGTATTTTTTTATTGTGTTTTATGAATATTATAAATATATTATTATGAGCAATGCGAAAAATTGTGCAACATACTTTAGTTTATTTTTATTAAAAATATTTTAATAGTTATATACAAAATTACATTTGATAAAATTAAAGCTAGTGCGCTAATTGAGCAAATTCATTTTACACTTTTTTTGCTGTAATGAATTTAACTGCTAATTAATAAATAAATATTAATTTTCAGGGTGCTGGGCATAATGATGTTGAGCTACATTCACAATATTTTGAACGACTGAAAAAATTTCTAACCGTAGAATTAGTTAAATGACAATTAAAGAACTCGACTGAAGGGGCTAATAATACCAAAGCCCAGACAGCAGCGTCAACTAACAAAACTGTTAGTTCTAATACAACTGCTACTCTTAATGCTGCTGCTGTCCCCCTAACCGCTACCACTACTGCTCCCCAAGGTGAAGAAAAAGATGATAACGATGGTAATTGATTTAAAAATTTGCAATACCAAAAAAAATCATCTTAATTTTGTTATTGTTTTTTTTATATTGACAGGTGCATCATCTTCTAGTTCAGTGTCTACGAAAGCTCTAGCTGAAAAATTTCTCTAGCAGAAAAAGTGTGGCTCCCATGCCACCCTAACAAATCCATACATCCCACTGCGTAATAAAAATGATTCTTCAAATAATATAAGTAGTAATAACGGAAAAAAAACTGAGAAGACCGATAATCAAGGGCAACGACTGTCATCATATACTTCATTGTCTTCCTCAAGCAAACATCCACAAAAACAATCAAATCAGTATTTAGATTCACACACTGAAATGAAATTGGACTCTCCACAAAAATCTTACACTACAACGCCTTGCAGTACTAGACGAATTGGTTCGCAGGATCTTGGCTTAACTGATGATTTTCAAACTTCTTTAGCTCCGACACTACCAAATTATTCACCACACTCTCCTTTACATCATAGCACACAATTCCATCAACAAAATAAGCTCTCTGCACGATATATAAATAATAAGGTGTCTTCGCATTCAAACATATGTAACACGAAGCAATTAAATATGACAGAAAAGTCTAAAATACCAGCATCTCCAAAACGTTCATGTAATTGCTCAAACAGAGCTACTATGAAAAGTTCCAAAGTCGATGTAAATAATCATGAAAGTAATTGTAACGAACATCAACATAATATCTCGATGAAAATAAATTCAGATAAAGCACCAGCTAACATTCCATCTTCACCATTGCCAACACTTGCTTCTAAACTAATTTGCAGTTGCGAAAAGTCTGAACGAACTAAACGACGAAGTCTACAACAAACTACAGATCAACAAAAAAATACTGAGAAGGAATTTAATAATGACGCTACGGAGAAAAAACGTATTAGCATGCCAATAACTACAACTAACATCGGGACAACTAATTCTAAACGTTTGGGTACAAGAAATGCAGCAACAAGTCCACGTTTGGATATGAGAAAATTAGGAAGTTTAGCAACCGTTTCTGCTTCAGTACCATATGCAGCTAAGAAACAAGAAAAAGATAAACCATTTGTAATAGAAAAAACAACTGAAACTAACAAATCAGGTCTTAAAATCGCTTTAGAAAAATCAAACTCCTTAGGTGAATCGAAACCATTAAAACAATTGCGCACTACGCGCTCGCTTTCACCCAGACCACCTGTTCGGCATCAGCAAGCAATAATTATTTCCGATGAAAATGAAGTTATTTCTGTCAAGTTAACACCTCCAACAGAAATTGGTGCGAAGTTAGAACAGTTCAGCAACAATAATTCGACACAAGCGCACAGTGAGGACAATCTTGACCAAACTCATTTACGTCGTAGAAAACCCAAAAGTTGTAGATCTGAGCAAACATCTCCAAACACTACTGATCTCTCCGATATAAAGTTTAGTTACAACAGAATGGCAAATCGCAGTACAGGTTGTTTAGTATATGTACCAACAGATCCTTGGTTAAAAATGACTGATTTAGAAAATTCAACTAAAAAAGAGAAGAAACCAAATCTGAAATCTGTACCCGCAAGAGGAAAGAAACATATTTCGCATGAACAAAGATCACAAACAGTACATGATAAGGATACTACTTTTGAAATCAATGGTGATCCTTGGGTTAAAAGGAGTGAAGCAACAGCTATAAGATCACCCAAACATGATCGTTTCCGACAAACGAAATCGTTTTCAACAACAAAGTTTGATATTGGTGGAATTGAGGTCATGGAAAATACAGCACGACCTAAGCTACAACGCTCTAAATCACCACTTTTTTCTGATGATGTACTGGCTTCTGGTAATATGCCCCTACAATCGGCGCCATCTTCTCCGCATATACTTAAAACACCAGAAAACCCATTTTCTTCGGCATTCTCTTTGAATTATCCATACAACTCACAACAATCAAATTCTCCACCTAGATCAGCAAGCTTTTCGCCAGCAAGAATAAATAATGCACCAAATCCATTTATTGATTACGATTCACCTTCATTAATGCCTACTTCGCCTCCACCATTTTTGTCTGTTGCTGCAAATATAGTTACCGAACAGCAAAAAATAAATCGCAGCTATTTAGATGTTTGCAATCCCAATCTACTGCAGGCAAGACACAGTTTCTCTTCGGTATCCAATCAACAACGCGAGGATGAATTACAATTGAATATACGTCGACTTTCCGAACAAATGCGTAAGGCAAATAAAGATATAAATGGAGCTGCAAAAATATCACTTAGTGACAGGAATGTCAATAACGGTGCAGATTTTCATCACTCGGAATTTAAAATCTCTCCTTTGCAAATTAACGCAGGCGGTGCTGACTTTTCTGATTATCTCAAACAATTTCGTTGTAGCGAAGCTAAAAAGGCAGCTGCTGCTTCCGAATTGGCTATCAATGGTAGGAGAGAAATTACCACATCAACCGAAGCATTGATTAGTTGCGCAGCTCATTCCAGTTCCAATGCATCTCTAAATACCCATAAACCACAAAATGATTCCCTACTAGAAACAACCTGCTAAGTATACGGTTTCATCAGACTTTCTGCTTGAGTCATATCCCATCTATCAACAAATAAAATTAACAATATTATATATAAGACACACTTTATGATATAAGAGCTAACCAATTTTAATAATACAAAAAAAAGTTTTTGTGAATTGTACAATTTCTTGTTCGACTTTCATAACATTCATTATTAAACAAAAAAGAAAAACAAAAACAAAAACAAAACAAAACAAAGTAAACAAAAACATAAACAAAACACACTAAATTAATATATAATTCAGCGATTAAATCAAGTTTGCATTTAAGTCAACTTTACTTTAGGTAACCATATGAACTCTGATATAGTTACTTTTTCGTATATATAGTTGCACATATTCTTTTTATATACTGTAAGTGTATTCTAATAACATTAGTTGTTATATACACCTGAAGATATATAAATGTATTCACATACGTACATCTATATACATATTTATATAAATATTTATATATATGCTAAATAATCAAATTTTATATATTGTAGTTTTCTATTAGATATCGTCGTATATATATAGTTTATAAATGTTTAAGTAATACAATAATTGCGTACATACAAACATAAATATTTGCTGTAACATCTCATTTAAATGTTTATTATATAAGTGTAAGTGATCTTTATTAAATTTGTCACGATTTAGAAAAATCTCAAAACTATATATTACATTCCTTTGAAGAATTGTGTTTCTTTTTTTCTTATTTTAATTAAGAAAGCAACATAAACAATCATTTATACGAATTAAGTATATTTGTATAGCTGTGGTTTATGCGTTAATACTAAGAATAATATCAGTGCATTTTTGTTTGAGAATAATGATAAAACTCCACATTTGAACAACGTAGATTATGTTTAAAGTGGGTTCAATGTTCTAAGACATTATTCTGCTACTCAAACACAACAAGGTTCAATACCTGATACTCTTAATCTTAAAATGTTAAATGGACTATTGAAACCATATGTGTTTTTAGAGACCACTGATGATGGATATTTAGCAATACTCAAAATAGTTGCATGGAGACCCAAATAATTCACTTCATTGGAACTTAATTTTCAAATTGAAACGTTTCTTTACCATTTGTTAAACTTTTTTTTAATGGAAACGCAATTTTGGGGGATTTTGACGAACAAAAAATATTACTTAACTTTGGTTGTGTTTTTTTTCTTAGACGATTACAGGTAAGGAAATGTACATTGAGTACTTTTACGTGTACTTCTGCATGAATCATGTTTTGTTCTTCGGTCAAAATAATAAAGAAAAAAATTGTTGATGAATCGATAATGAAATGAAATGTGATTAATAATTGATTGTTGAAATACAAAATTTTCCTCTTTCTCAACTCTTCTCTCTCTTTCTCGACTCTTCTTCTGAAGACCATTAAACACAATAAAGTGTCTTGTATATTTATCTGCAAATAAATTTCCGCAAAACACTTTTATTTAAAATAAATTTGTACATATATTAAAAAAATATTATTAAAGCACCTTTTAAAGAGATAATAACATTTCTATTTCTAGTTTTTAATATTTTCTAAAATTCTAGTACACAGCAATACGATAATTTCCTAACAGAAGATACCATTCACAAGACTTACTGGTTTCCGTTAAGACCACCTATCTGGCAAAGAAGATAAAACACATAACTCAGTTTTCTTCTTGAGTGTAGTGAACGGCACTTAGTCATCTCTAACGATGAGTAATATCTAACTCAGCTCATCTGTTCTTGGAATCAGCTCTAGTCGTCACGAATTTTGAATTCTGTTCTTGAAAATCATCTCTACTACTCATCATGTATCCCATCTGTTTTCATTCATTTAAAAGCACATGTTATGTGGATTAAGTCTATATATATTACTTTTTCTCAGTTTATTAAATTATTTTAGTAAACAAATAAATCATTACCGTAATAAAACTGTTTTAGTTTATGTAATCATTCTTACGCCCAGAGATATGCATTATCTACACATATTTAAGTATACCAAACCTACAGTGGCGTTGAGACACCATAGCAACCGAAAATATTATATATAATATAATACAATTTTTGAGTGGTGTCCAGGCAAGATAAGCATTTTTTTTTCGTTATTACGCTTCTGTGAAACTAGCTGGTAGAGGAACGAACAAAAGTTCTTTTACTGACAAATCTAAAAGTGCCAGCTGATTTGGGATAGTATAAAGACATTTCATATGCACTTTCAGTGGAAACAATACCACTTAAATTTAAAAAAACAAGAGAGTCGGCATTTTACATTTTTGCCATGGCATCAAGAGATTTGTTTTTTACAGATTTCAGCCTATAGAAATAATTAAAGAGAGCCAAGTAGTACTTGAGGAGAATGCACTACCGTTTGTGATGGTGGTTTAATGTGGAATTGCTTTTAAAGATTCCAAACTAAACATTTTTCTGTGGAGAGCGGATCTTCTGAAAGTCAAACAATTTCTTCGACTAATTTGATGTTCAAAATTGATGAAGATCCCCGAATGACCCAGATGGGATTGAATGCCATGACTGTATTGCGAATATAAAGTAATAATCTTGGATACATAAGAAAATATCTGTATGATAAGGTTTCGACATTTAACTGGGCGTTTATGCCATGGCTGTACAGCGTATAATAAGCAATCATATGATTTCATATGAATATATGAAAAAATAACCGTGATAGATTCCTCAAATTTTAACTGAATCTCATTAAAAGACACATATATATTTTGCTTAATATGTATTTTCTTCACAAATTTAAAAATGAATAATCCAACAAAATTGTAACAAACGATGACAGTTGGTACCACAAGGCCTATCCAGAAACAAAGCAACAGTCAATGTTATAGAGTTCAAATGGAGTTAATCCCAGAAGGTTGCTCAATAAGTCCAGGCAACAGAAGACAACAACAGAACGATGTCAATTTACTTTACCAAAAGAATAAATGTAGCTCTCATTAGTTCTTAAACTGTACAGACATTTACTGCTAAATGCTATACAGAAACCCGTTCGCAAATTTGTTAGGAAACTAGAAAAAAACGAAACTGCGTCCATACTTTCTGGATTATGTTACCGCGCCAGCTGAAAAAAAGAACAATTTCATTTCGCTAGCAGGTATTGAAGAAATTTCTCCAACTCCATATTCCCTAAACCATATATTTACGTACAATTTCTGATTCTTTCTTAAAATAAAAAAAAAAATTGAAAGTATGAGTTTCGGTAAATGAAGAGATTATTCGTATAATTAATGTAATTACAGATCAAAAAGAATCCGATTGCGAGAACTGTTCTAGAAAGTGTATATAGAAAATAAGAAAAATGATTAACATTATGAAAATAATACCGGACTATTTAAATTCTATTTAATAGGTCTAAAACTTGAAACTTCTTCAAACCACTAAAAGGCGAACTATTGTCGACTAGGTTTATAAAAAGCTCAGCATATTATATTATTAACCATACTCCATCACGAGCGTAGATTTGTTATATAGAATCTGAAACTATTTCTAGCTCATCATGCTATCTATTATTCTAGCAATATATATCTTACAAAAAGTATATATATAATTCTGATTAATGATGTAGTTATATACATACCAACGATGGGTGATAATACTTCTAGGTGTTTTAGTTTAGTAGTTTAAAACATTTCTATTTAAAAAATATTCACTGAGCTTGAGAGATATAAAGTATATATCGAAACCGATTTTAGCATGACTTTATAAGGTAGAATTTTGTTTTCTGAAATCTACTAAAAACTTGGCCCAAGTGAACAATATATTTTTTTCATATTTGAATTCGCTGTGAAAAAATAAAATCAAAGTAATTTTTTTAATATGTATTAATTCCTTTTAAAGTAGTAAGATCTCTTTTTAAATCAGATTTAAATTATACGTAAAGGTATTTATCAAGAAGTCTCAAAAATTTGTCATATATAATCTATTTTATGAGCACTATTCACTTTCTTTAGCAATATGGCTTTAATAGACACTATAAATAAAAATTCTATTATTTGCTATTATTTTCTAAGGATCTTATTTTATTATCTTATTTTCTAGTCTTATAAGAATAACAACTACTGAATAGCTCTTTTTATTGTTTATAATCTTATAATATAGATTGCAATCAGTTTATCTTAAGAATAACTTAACATACTACCTAAGTGCTCTTAAATTAGTGTATATACCTAAGTGCTCTTAAATTAGAGTGACGGTATGGAGTTGGTTAGGGCATGTGGGCTACGGCTTTGTACTTTCGTTATAAGCAGTTTCCTTGGGTTGCTTACATTGAATAACAACTACTTAAAAGACTCAAATTATGTTTGTTATCTAATTATAATAAAAAAGATTTATAAATTTCGTTCTTCAATAGTAATTTTTATTAATTTGAAAATTATAATTCTCATTATGTTAGATTAATTTCAATTATATATGTCAAAAATATTTATTATTTATTGTGTTATTTTAATATGAGTTGGATTTTAATATGAATTGAATTGAATATTTTGATCACTTCTCCAACAATTATTGTGGAGTTGCATGTTATGTATTACAATAATAATAAAAGAAATAATCTGGAGGCGTCATATATTGTTTTCTATGTTGTAAAGTAGTCAGTTCCAATTTTAAGCGTAACTTTAATACAATTAAATCCGTCTTCAATTTTTAAATGTTGCATATTTGTAGAATTAACTATTGTGGTGAAAAGGTATTTGTACTTTCCAATTTTTTTTAATTTAAATGAAATACTAATTAAAATAACAAATATATTATCGATAATTAAATTAGTTTCGAGAAAAATGTTCGAATGAAATAAGAAAGAACATGAGTTAAAAAGGTCAAATGATTATTGATATAATTGAACACGTGAGCAATAGAACAAGATCTGCTCGAGGTACGATCACCAGTATTTCAATACATAATACAAAATTACCGATGAAAACAGAGTACTGAAATAAAAATATTAAATATTTTAACTTTTTAGAAGTATTAAATTTTGAATTTGTTTCTCGACCTGGGTTTTTAATAATGTTTTTTGTATATTTTATCTCCGGCTACATGTCACCTTTTTTTTTTAATTAAAATTATATAATTGTTTAATGACAAAACCGAAAACATGACCAATGGATATAGATTTTAGTAATATTAATTAATGTTTATAAATTTTAAGTTAATCAGAATATTCCTAGTTAAATACTATAATATGTAAAATTTATAAAATATATAAAAATTTGTAAATAATTTTAATTATATATATGTATGTATGCAGGTATGTATGTACTGATGAAAAAATGTTTGTTGTATATGATTTTTCATAATGTTTAGGTGTAAATTAATTATCAAAAAAATCAAGAAACAGATTATTAAAATATAAGAATTGTTGTAATTATCTTTGCAAATCCTCGAATCCATGGAATCGAAATATGGAATATAGAGAATATTAAACAAACGTGATGACTTGTAGCCGGATATAAACTATAAAAAAAATTTATTTTAGAAGTAGTATAACACATTTTTTTATTAATATGTTTTAATAGTATTATGTCTCGCGCAGAACTTTAGGTTTTCCTTGGTTTGGCAGTTTTATTATTTTTAATTAAATTTTTTATAATTTGCAAGCGATGATAAAAATGCATATCTACAAATGCATTTATTTGTAATTTCGTTATTCACATATGTTTCACTTTGTGTAATTACACAATTATTGAAAACTTTCGGATCTGGCATCACCGCGATTCCGCTTCATCTGTTTTTGCTATCAAAACACAGAGTTTAGTTGCACTCAAAATGGTACTTAAATTTGCAGCAAATTTGAATTTTCTGTTTACGGAAGGCGCTCCAAGTCTTGCTGATAAAATTAAATTGGCACATCGTGCAGGATTCAAGGCGGTAGAAATACCCTTTCCAAATTCCGATCTAAATAAAGTCGTGGACATTAAAAATGAAACTGGAATTGAAGTGGCACTTATTAATATTGCCCTTGGTGGGTCAAATAAAAGTTATTATTTTGTTATTTAATTTATCATTCAATTTTAGGGACTGGAGAATTAAATTTTGGGTCAGCAAGCATTCCAGGTGCAGAAGAAACCTTCAAGAAGCATTTATCAGAAACTGTGGAGTTTGCGAAGGCTGTTAATTGTAAAAAGTAAGTCGAAAAGTTAGGAATTTTTCATAAGATGATTTATTAGAAAAGTAAATAATTTAATTTTTTTACTATACATAAGAGTATTATTATTATCACTTTAAGTAAAACTATAAATATTAGTGTTTTAATGAAAATACCTATTTGTACTTAAATTAATGTATGTTTGTATGCATTTATATGACTCTTATCTGTACTCATCTTTTTTTTTAATTTGAATCAAGTACATTGGCTATCAGCTTAAATATTACATTTTTTTTTAGACAACTTAAAGATAATCTAGATTGCAATACTGTTGTTATTTTATGGTTGCCGTTTTTGTTGTTACAGTAGCCTGCAAAGATCTGCGGATACAGTTTCTTATAGAAGTGATGAACGGCACTTGGTCGCCGAAATTGACGAGTGGCTTCAGCACGTAGAACTGGTCACTCCTAGATCGAAATATAAAATTCTAATTACAAAGTGTTCTCCATTCCTTACAATGTTTCATATCATATTTTCTTATATTACATATAAACTAGTGACTTATGAATGTTTATCTTAGAAAACGACCTTTAGAAAGTATGTCAACCGTATTTGTTGTTGTTATTGTAACTAATGCTGACCTAAAAAGCAAGCAGATAAAAAAGATTGGTGCTATGAGCGATTAGGTCTGTGTTACGAAGTCATTTGCCTACCCCAACAACTAACGCAATGAAGCGGAGCATTAAATCACTAGGGCAAAAATTTGTTGTAGATTTGACTAAGAAAACAAATAAGTAACGTAATAAGGAGTAAAAATTTAGTTAGGATGTACATAATTGACAGGGGTTTATATGTGTCAGAAGTTTAGTATGTTGCTATGTCTGAATTCCAATTCGACCTATACGAAAGTACTATATAGTTCTATGTATGGGACGATATATAGTTCTTCCTCTACTATATATGGTTATACACATTTATATATACATAGTTGTATACATATATACAATTATATGTAGTTGTTTATATGGAACTATATATAGTTCGTCCTCGTATCTCTAAAGTATTAAGGTGCAGCCTAGTTGAAAACTTTGTCGTGGTCTCGAAAGAGAGTAAAAACCTTCTGCCAATATTTGACCTGATTCTGGTTCTGATTGTACCAGATCTTACGTCTTGCATATTGTCGAACATGTGTCATCGACATACCATCTTTCACAAGAATTTGATGATCACTTTTCTGAAGTTAAGTAAATATTAACGTCAACTGAAATTGATTTTATATAAAATCGATTGCTACTTATGATTTGATTATCTGTCTCCCAGTTATAGTTCATTTTATTAACAAAAGCCATTAGATAAAAATTACATAGTAAAAGAACATTACATAGAAACATCTAAACACGTTTTTATTATTTTGCTGTGTCCATGTCCTTTACACTGTATTAAGAACATCTATATATATATATATATATATATATGTATTTTGTTAACTATTTATATTATTTATATATAATTATAATTTTAAAAATAACTAATATATAATTTAATTTAATAGAATTCATATAATGGCTGGACTTATGAATAAAGCAACAAGGGAAGACCATTTATGCACGTATAAAAATAATTTAAAATATGCAGCAAGTTATCTGGAAAAACAAAATCTTATTGGTGTCATTGAACCTATAAATAAATATGCCCTTCCTTCTTACTTCATGAATTGCTATGAAACTGGTATATTTTCTATCAATTTCTATCTATTAAATATTAATAGAATAATCTATTTTCCAGCTACATCTGTGCTGAATGAAATAAACAGTAAGCATTTGCGTTTAATGTTGGACATATTCCACTTGCAACATATACGTGGCAATGTGACAAATAGCTTCAAGGATTTCGAGGATCTTATAGGACATATACAAATCGCACAGGTGCCAAACCGAAATGAGCCAGATGTTTCTGGAGAACTTGACTATGGCTATGTGTTTTCTTTAATTACTGGTATTAATTATGAAGGTTGGATTGGTTGTGAGTACAAACCTGCAACCACAACCGTGGATGGACTAAAATGGTTGTCCAAATATAATTTGAAATTGTAAAAAATTTTAAATTGTAAAAAATTTTAAATTGTAAAAAATTTGTTTAGTAAATGTGAAAAAAGGCACTTACTTTATAATTCATATATAACGTGATAATTTTTAAAAAAAATATTTATATGTGTAAAACACAACTGAGAATACAATTCGATTTTTATGTAAATAAAATTTTATAAACATATTTTGGAATTATTATATTTTATTTTTAAAATTTTATTAGACAAAAAAGCAAATATAGCACATCAAATAAAATTGTTTATGAACTTTCACAGCAAATTAACAAAACTTCAAGTTGGAACATACTAGTCAAGCACGGCTTCGGATTAGTTGGCTAATGAACACTGACTTTAAGTCCATTTCATATATGCTGACTTTTTTTAATTAGCTTTATTATAAATGAGTGTTGGGCTATCAGTCAGATTTTGTAATTTGGTTTTTTAATAAAAAATTTTTCTTATTATTTTACTTATTTAATATTTATTTCCGACGTTTCGGTTTTTTAAAACCATCATCAGGGAAAAAATTTTAAAACAACTGAATAGAATAAAATTTGTATATAAAAAATATTTTTGACAAATGTTTAAAATAATTACAACGGAGAATATACAATCAGTTTATCTTAAGAATGATTTTTCTAGCAATGCACAGTAAACAACAGAAATATTTTCTATATCTCGCCGCAAATTATATGTGGGTTTAGTCATTATATGTAAGGACTCTAGGGTAAGACGTCGAGACAAGGAAGGTTCAGTATCAATGACTTTCACTGAAGTAAAATCTGGGTAATGATTTACATCAAGAAAGTGTGAGACTAAAGCTGATTGTTTATCCGGATTAATTTGTTTTAGACTATTTTTATGTTGACTTATTCTTTTATGTAATTGATTTTTTGTTTGGCCAATATAGCAGAGTTCACATTTTTGACCATTATTATCAGTTCCAGTGCATGGAATTTCATAGATGCAATTAATAATGTTGTTCGTTTCAATACGATCTTTCAGTTTGGTATATATAGTTGTTTGAATTTGTGCAAATGGTTTAAAGGATATTTTTAAATTGTCTACTTTCCTTTCGATAATCTTAGCAATTTTAACTGATAGGTCATTTATATATATCATCGATCTTCTAATCATAGGAATTTGTATACTCTGCTCATGGTGATTAGTTCTTGAAAGTTGAAAATGTTGACGTACTCGATGTAGTTGACTAACAATCATTTTGCGAGGATAGTTATTATCAGACAAAATGTTGAAAGCTTTATTAATGTTAGTAACGTAAAATTCTTTGTCACTTATAGAAAAAATGCGGAAAAAAAGGTTGTAAATCACATTCATTTTTTGTTGTCGTGGGTGGTGTGATAAATAGTTAAGAATTTTACCTGAGAATACATCTTTCTGGTACCAGTCAATTGCTAGTTCTCGATTATTTTTCTTAGATATTAATAAATCTAGGTAGGGAAGTTTTCCATTAAATTCATGTTCAACAGTGAATTGTATGCGATTGTGAAATGAATTTAATAATTGTAGAAATTCAAGGATTTTATCTTTTGACCCAATGGTGAAAATATCGTCAACGTATTTTAAAACAATTCTAGGTTTAAATGATAATTTGGGAATTGTCACATCAAAGATTTCATTTGTAACAATGTTGGCGATGGTAGGTGAAATATTTGAGCCCATAGCACATCCATTAATTTGTTTGTATATATCTCTTTTAAACAAAAAATATGTCGAATCAATTAGTACAAAATGTATAATTTTTAAAAAAAGGTATTGAGGCATGGTTGTATATTGTTCGATAAGATGCCATTTGGTTTCTAATAGTCTAATCACTAAATCCATTGGAATACTTGGAAAAAGTGAAATCACATCAAAAGAAGCGAGAACTTCATCATTTTCAACAATAATGTTAGTTAATTTTTCTCGAGCTTCTACACTATTTGTGATATCATATTTCTTATGTACAATTTTGCTCAATATGGTGTTCAAATAGATTGCAAGCTGAGATGAATTCCCAAATTATCATTTAAACCTAGAATTGTTTTAAAATACGTTGACGATATTTTCACCATTGGGTCAAAAGATAAAATCCTTGAATTCCTACAGTTATTAAATTCATTTCACAATCGCATACAATTCACTGTTGAACATGAATTTAATGGAAAACTTCCCTACCTAGATTTATTAATATCTGAGAAAAATAATCGAGAACTAGCAATTGACTGGTACCAGAAAGATGTATTCTCAGGTAAAATTCTTAACTATTTATCACACCACCCACGACAACAAAAAATGAATGTGATTTACAACCTTTTTTTCCGCATATTTTCTATAAGTGACAAAGAATTTTACGTTACTAACATTAATAAAGCTTTCAACATTTTGTCTGATAATAACTATCCTCGCAAAATGATTGTTAGTCAACTACATCGAGTACGTCAACATTTTCAACTTTCAAGAACTAATCACCATGTGCAGAGTATACAAATTCCTATGATTAGAAGATCGATGATATATATAAATGACCTATCAGTTAAAATTGCTAAGATTATCGAAAGGAAAGTAGACAATTTAAAAATATCCTTTAAACCATTTGCACAAATTCAAACAACTATATATACCAAACTGAAAGATCGTATTGAAACGAACAACATTATTAATTGCATCTATGAAATTCCATGCACTGGAACTGATAATAATGGTCAAAAATGTGAACTCTGCTATATTGGCCAAACAAAAAATCAATTACATAAAAGAATAAGTCAACATAAAAATAGTCTAAAACAAATTAATCCGGATAAACAATCAGCTTTAGTCTCACACTTTCTTGATGTAAATCATTACCCAGATTTTACTTCAGTGAAAGTCATTGATACTGAACCTTCCTTGTCTCGACGTCTTACCCTAGAGTCCTTACATATAATGACTAAACCCACATATAATTTGCGGCGAGATATAGAAAATATTTCTGTTGTTTACTGTGCATTGCTAGAAAAATCATTCTTAAGATAAACTGATTGTATATTCTCCGTTGTAATTATTTAAAACATTTGTCAAAAATATTTTTTATATACAAACTTTATTCTATTCAGTTGTTTTAAAATTTTTTCCCTGATGATGGTTTTAAAAAACCGAAACGTCGGAAATAAATATTAAATAAGTAAAATAATAAGAAAAATTTTTTATTAAAAAACCAAATTACAAAATCTGACTGATAGCCCAACACTCATTTATAATAAAACTGACTTTAAGCTTCAAATTTGGCAGAGCACAAGCTTAAGTCTTGATATTTTCAGTCTCAAAAATTTATTTACGAATAAATAAATATGAGAAATAATTCCCAGAACACTGTTGGTGACTATTTGGTAATATTCGTAACAGCCGTGTGGTCAGACAAAAGTTCAATTAATCGAAAATTAATTAAAATATTTGTTGTTGCAATTCAGTACTATTTGATACCTCTCTATTAATAATTTATTAAATTTTTAGGCTGACCAATATTAAAAATGAAACGTGTTTTTAATTTAACGGCTATTACTGCGTTATCAACTTTTCTAAGTTTCTTGACTTCCTCAAATAATAATTAAAATAATAATAAAAATCTAAACAACTAAAGTAGTAAAATTTTTGTTATTATATTTTATTGGTGTTTACTTTTTTTAATATTTAATTACAAAAATAATTTTATAAATTTCCTGAGGCTCTTATGACTCTGGCATTATACTTTCTAAATGAGTAATTATTTTTGCGTTCATTGATTATAGTTCTATACAGAAAATATAAAACTTCATATTGTAGTTGTATTATTTAAGATACGTCATATAACGGTTATAACTTATAAGTCAACGAGATCTGTAATTTATGTTGTTATTTTTGTTTTAACCCACGGGGATTGTATAGTCCCATTGGGAGGTGGTGAACGGCACTTGGTCGTCGAAATTTACGAGTGATTCCGGTTCGTAGATCCGACCAGTCTTTGAACCATCTGTAATTTAAAGGGTGAACTACTATTCTTCAGAATACAGGACTACTATTCTTTGAAGTACTATAACTTAAAACTTGTCTTATTTATCACTTCGACTGGACAATCTCTAAGACCCATATATTATGTAGTTCGTGTTAAAGCAGAACGATATGTTTGCTCAGCTATAATTGTTAATTTAAATTGTAATAAAACAATTAAATATATCGCAATTGTTGAAATTGTCTGGAATAAATCTTATTATATATATACATTAAGACTGAAAAGTTTTCGGAAATTCTCATTTAAAATTCGCGCGCTGTATATTTTTCGATATTTTAAGTTTATGTAGTTTGGCAGCACTGTCCTTAATTACTATGCCAAAAATGAGCGCGATCTGTCAGACAGTTCGCTTACGGCAGCTGTTGAAACCAGTTCACCTCAGTAGTGCGTTGCGAAATGTCTTCGACGGTCGTACGACCGTCCTGAAAGGCTTTGTACCACTCATAAACTTGAGTTTTCGATAAAACTGATTCCCCATAAGCCTTTTGTAGCATTCGCAACGATTCTGCACACGAAATTTCGTTCGAAACACAAAATTTGATGCAAACTCTTTGTTCAATATTTTTTTCCATTGTTTTTTTCGCAACGCACTACTGAGGTGAACTGGTTTCAACAGCTGCCGTAAACGAACTGTCTGACAGATAGCGCTCATTTTTGGCATAGTAATTGTCCTTAATTGCTGCCAAACTACATAAACTTAAAATATCGAAAAATATACAGCGCGCGAATTTTAAATGAGAATTTCCGAAAACTTTTCGGTCTTAATGTATATTCATTAATGCATATTTTGATAATATTACCGCTGATATAAGTTCACGATTAATTACGCTATAGCCTTGTAAGCTGACCACTGGCGGATTTAATTCTATTGCTAATATAAAATAATCGATTTCTTGTTGTGCATGAATGTCAATACGCAAAAGATCTATTTTAAGTAGAGTATTTTGTATGCCATGGGCGATTACCGATGTAGCGCTATTAGCACAATCACAAACAATGAATAGCAAACATGCACAATATATTGTCAGCACGATTAATCCCAAAACTTTGAAGGAAAAACCAGAATCAAATATTTCTGATAAAGATCCATATGCTCCAATTATTATATTGATAGACCTAATACATAAAAATTTAAATAATAATTAGTATGTTTATTAGAAACATATACACAAATTTATACACACATAAAGAGTAGATATGTGGAATAAGTACGGGCATAGGCGTTACCGAAGGTTTGAAAAATTTCACTTAAATTTAACCACAGGAGCCTGTACTGTGTTATTAAGGTGGATGTACATTCAACTTTAATATCCTTGAAATTAAGACAAATAGTTCATATAAAAATAATAAAAATCAATGGTATTTAATAGAGCATACTCTTTTAAAACAAGCCGATAAACTGTGAGATGCTCTCTTAATAGCCCTCGAGTTGATGTAAAATAGAGCTGCATTCATATTGATCATTGTGATTATATGAAAATAAGCTATTGTATGCCAAAGCAAGAAACCTTAAAACAAATTAATATAAATACTATTATTTTTCTACCTAGTTACTGAATTTATTTACCATCAAGTAATCGACTGAGACTATAAAGGAACATGACAGCTAGTAATACACAACCAATGAAGAGCACAATGATAAGAAAATTAAGTTTCGGGAAGGTGAGCGTTGTGCCAGTCACGCGATAATAACGAACCTTTAAAGTAAAAAATGGAATCGGTATATATACTACAATCACAGTATAATAATATTAAAATATTAAATATATTATATATTGATTTAAACAAACTTTAACATATAAACGGTACTACCTGAAAAGAACCCCACATAGTTTTGTAGTGTGCAACTTGATTAGCGACACCCCAGCCGACATATGGTATCCAAAAATGCGGCACGAGGAATATAACAAAAATCACACCATAAATGTACTCATCAAATTCTTCAGTGGTTTGTATGAATTTAACACGTTCATAGCCAACTCGTAGTACCAATGATGAGGTAAATATATATAGAAAAAATGCATAAATCATCTCGTAGGACTTCCAGCTAAAAGTCACAATACCAGGTGCCGAGCGTACTACTGGCATAACTCCCAGAATAACGAATAGCTTAAGTAGCAATTGATGATCGCGATAGAACTACCCGAAAAATATACTTGGATTAATGGATATTATCAGTTCATATTACATTAGTAGTTGTACTTGATCATAAATGTCTGCAGTTGTTCCATTGCTCGACTTCAACTGATTACGTGTATCCCTGTTCCGATTTCGTTCCAATAATTCCGGATTTTTGAAGTTATGAAAAGTAGTCTTTTTGTTTTTATGTGACTTTAAAATGTAATTCATGTCCTCTTGCAGCATTGTGGATTGAAGAGCCTCTTCGAATTCTGACTCCGCGATGGATATCATTTTACCGAAAACAGTTTGAGCTCCTTATACTTTCAATCATAAATACTTACTGATGTGTTTTCATGAATGAATTTAGATTAAATTTTTGTAATTGTTAAATCATTAAATTGTGATTAACTCTAATAGGCGTTTCCATAACTGAATATTTTATAGTTCATAAATATTCGTGTGTAGGCCATCCTTTTATCTATTGTAAAGTGTTTGTCAAAGTAATTAATTGTCTACCAAAGAAGTTACACTCACTTTTATAATTTAATTTCAAACAGTCGTTTTAATACCACAAAAATGTCAGTTAAGAAAATTTAATATTAAATAATTAAATTATCTATGAAATAAAATAAAAAATGAGTTTAATCTATAAACCTACATTATTTCATTTAAAATGCCAACTTTAATATTCGAAATCTCATTAAGGAATACCACTTAGTGATATTAAAACCTTTACATTTTTTAATACTTTTTGACTGATCAGACATAAAGAGACACAACTCCCTTCAAACCACCTTTAAGGAATAAATTGAGAGTATGATTCTAGGTCTTGAACCGCAAAAATAAATGACTAAAATACCATTTCAGTAATTTTGGATGGAAATGGGAGATCAATAGAGGTAATATTTCGCAAACAAACTTTATATAAGTTAGAAAACAAAGAAATCTGTGCTATAATGGAGAGAATTGCCTCTGGGTGAAGAAGTTGAAGATAAGCAAGGTTGTGGACAAAATTGATTTTAAATTTTGGGTCAAAATGAGTACGATTATACAGAGACGGCAGAGGAGCACTGACTTGGACCTCATTAAAATGAGATTTAATAGGCTAAAAATTAAGAAGACTAGTATTTCATAGCTGGAAGCAAATTAAGCGATACGATGTCCACCTAAATCATGTCAGGAGCGACACAACGAATTTCTTAGCCAGGAAAAATAAAAAATCATCTATATGAGCTACTTTAGAAGTGATTTATTTATATAGAATGGAGTTTGGATGGCACTTAGCATCAGCTCAGTGCTTAACTTGACACAATCAACACGAAAAGTTGAAGAACTTTCCTTTCACATGCCTGAATCAATTCCATATAGTGGGATATAATTCTAAACCAGATTAGGTAAACATAAAAAAAAGGTAGATCCATTGCTTTTATTTCTTAAGTATTATATATTCCAAGTAATCTTTAAGTTGTTTGCACATACGGGACTATTGTAACTCGTTCGAATACCAGCGGCTACAGAACTATATTGAAATAAATGGTGAACATTAAATACAGATAATATTTAATCTTGAATAAAGAAAAGTAGAGTTTCATGTGTTCGTCTCTTACAAATGTGCTCCCATTAAATTATTCTTACATACATATATAATAATAATATCAAAAAAGCCTGTTTTTAAGGGCAGTATACATAGAACAAATAATCACTTTGTCTCTAATAATATTTATATAAATAAAAACATGTTTGTATTTAATAGATTCAGATATCTTTAATTAATCCATAACAAATCTATAAATAAAATATGAATATAGGTTTTCGTTATAAAGGCATGAATAGATTACTGTTGGACACTGTTGGATTGATCGGTGATATGTTTGTTTTTAGGCTTTTCCTTTATCCAAACTAAATTTGAATTGAATTAGTATCAGAAGATAAATAGTGATTGTTCCAATGCTCTAAAATAGTATGAAAGTGAAAAGTTTAAGTTCCTATTAAAAATTAAAATAAATTTATAAAAAAAGTCATTAATGAATTAAAATTATATGTACTCTAAACTTCTATAATACGTTCTAATTCCACAAACATTTTCCCGAAAAAGTTAATATCTCTTTTAATTGGTTAATTTTAGCAAGCAACATTAAACCAGTCATACTTTCTCGTATTTTTTCTATTTCTCTTACTTGATTTTTATATTATCTAGATCTATATATATATAAATATATACATACCGATGTCAGAAGTTCCCGATTTACATTGACATAACCCTTTAAGCTTACGATAGCTGGATTCATTTCAATAGCAATAATAAAATGATCAATTTCATTTTTAGTCTCTCTATCGCAATGTTCTAAATCTATAGACAATAAAGTTTTCTGAACACCCCTAGCAACGCCAAGGGTAGCATTATGAGAGCAATCACAAAATATAAACAATAGCATAGAACAGTAGACTCCATCAACAATCAAACCCAACTCTTTGTATGATATCCGGAATCCTTCTTTGTGATCCATGATTTCAGCAAATGCACCATAAACTGCTATTACAATATTTACGAACCTTAAGACAGAAGAATTAATATGAAATTTAAAATGATATAAAAGTGTATATCTTTATAATAACTTACATAAAAATACAGTAAGTCGAATAGGTTCTTGCATAGGCGTTTCCGAGAGACTGAAGTAATTCGCTTAAATTGAGCCATAGAAAACGATAGTTCGAGATAACTGTGGCTGAGCATTCCTTCGACATATCCTAAAAATGTTTTAAAACAAAAACCATTAATAGATAAAATAAAATTAAAAGAATAATAAAAATAAAAGAAAATAAGTGTAGTTAAACTGATAACTTGAGAGCAATATTTAGTCATTACAATGAAATCGGACATTTTACCGTCAGGAGAGATTGACTAACGATAAGTGTCTCTTCGAAATAGTTTTCGTTATATACCAATATATTGTATTTTATTCAGCTTTATTAAAATTTTTAGAAAGTCATAATCATATATCTTTTTTTATTATATCTTTATATATCTAATTATAATTATAATTATATATCTTTTTGTGGCATATATCTGTATGTATAACCCAGCTATTCAAAACAGATAAACTAACATAATTACCTTACGAAAACAAGTAGCTAACGAATATGAGGCAGCTTTAATTGCTCTTGAGTTAATATACCAGAGAGCGCAGTTCATATTTATCATTGTTATAATATGATAATATGCCAATGTGTGCCATAATGGATAACCTGCAAATATTTTTGAATATGTGAATAAAAAAATGTTTGTTAAATAATTTTTTAATAACCTTCCAACAAAAATGACAATAAGAACAGAAAAATTATAGCACAGAGTAAACATCCTATAGATATGAAAACAATCATTGTTTTGAGATGTGGAAACTGCAATGAAGTTCCTGTGACTTTATAAAATCTAAGCTGAAATAATAAGTTATATTATTAAACCATTTTTAAGTAACTATTTTATTTTATACTTGAAAAGTTCCCCATGATGATTTGTATATAGCAACTTCATTAGCAACGCCCCAGCCAACAAAAGGAATCCAAAAATGTGGTACCAAATATATTACAAATATCACGGCATATATGTATTCATCAAATTGCTTGGTGGTATGTAAAATATGGATTCGTTCGCGACCTATAATAACTACAACAAAGGTCATCAAACACCAGAAAAAAATGGCATAAATGGTAGCCATCGATTTCCAAGAAAACGTTATACGTCCAGGTTGAGACCGTAGTATTGGCATAACGGCAAGAACTCGAAACAGGACTAGTAGTAATTTATGATCTCTGTAAAACTGTCAAGAATATTATGAATAAGTTAATAACTCATATATAATAATTATAGTTAATATATCTATGTTTATAGATGTCTAAATATACTAGTATTTATATAATATTACATTTGGTTTATTTGTATTAACAATTATTGATGACAACTGCATTAAGTAAGTATTAAATAAAATCCTTCCAAAAATCTTTCTATAGGATTATAAAAAATAACACATTTTTTTGTTAATCTAAGGAGTGCTTGAAATTCAATTACTGAGACCTGTACCAACTTCACAAAATGTGGATCGCATAACGTTGTAAGCACACCTCTAATAGTTCTACAATGTCTTGGTGATAGGGGGATTTAGCAAAAATAAATGTAAATGAAAATATATAATAAATAGTATTTTAATATAATCTTAAAGCTTTTCATTTTATATTAATTAATTAATTTTAATCAGTTTTAATATATTTTAAGTACTTGAATATAACATCAGACTCACTTGGTCATGTTCCTCAACTCTGTCACCGTTTCCAGAATCCAACTTCGATCTCAACATGCGCTGAATTTCTCTCTCTTGAGTATTCAAATCCAATGTTTTTAATTTATTGTCGCTCAGTGAACCCAGTTTTGAAAAAGAATTCAACTCCGATTTGAGAAGAGTTCCATCAATTTTTTCGTCCGGTTGCGAGTTAAAATTGTAAATCGAAAACATTTTTATAAGAACTAAAATTTTCCTGGTGTTGAAAGAGTATTTATAATTTTTTTAAACAAACTTTAGTTTTGGATAATATTAAAAACTTTTCAACTGTGAAACTTTTTATTTGCATTAACTTTTAATATTTAATTACATGGATAGACTTGCAAAGGTTAGGAAATATTCAAACATACCCATTTATATTGTTATTGAAGAATTATTCTAACAATTTCATGAAGAACATGTTTAAGTATAAAATTAGAACTAGAATATACTTTGAGTACAAGCTTCTTACGATAGTCTAATGTTTAAAATATTTTTATCAGATTATATAATTTTATAAGTCAATTCTAACTGATGGTGATTTCAGTTGAATATTAAGTTTATGATTTTAATTCATACAATTTTATATAATATCAAAATTTTATGTTGAAGCTATTTGAGTCAGTACACTTGAGCACTTTTACTCTTTCTTCACTCGAGGTATTTTTAAAACCCCTCTTTACCCCTTAACTGTATTATTGTTTATCACTTCATCAGACTAAGCAAGAATTGACCTCAGATCTGCATACCTCCCCGAGGAGCCTGTAACCATTCTGAGATTTGATAACGCGGTGTTGGTAAGTCTGTCAAAGTTTTAATATCTATTTGTGATTATATATTTGGTTTATATTTAAAACTTTTTTCTTGTTGTTTTATTATCGTTCTCTGCCTGGGTATCCATAGCTATAACCTCTATTTTATATTCAACCCATTAAATACTTGGCTAATGTCATTAAAGGGATATTTTCTGCTAGTTGTTTAACATCAATTCTTAGATCACCTCACGCAATGACCATATCTCTGAAAGTTTTATCTTAGTGCTTAGGACATACTACTTACGTTTGCTTAAATCCATGGCGTGGTTTTTTAGTAGTAGAGATAAATGATATATTGAAAAGTTTGGTACTTTAGATTAGGTTCTCATATCAGAGAAAACTAAACAGCCTCTATAGTTATAGCCTCTATAGAAAAAATGATATATTTATATTGTAAACAAGAATATCTTCTATTAAATTATAAAATAAAAAAATAATTTATTTTCTTCTAACTATTATTATTATTATTATTATTTTTTGTATACTATATTTGAAAGAGCTAGATATATTATTATTTAGGTTTATATTAGTTTTATGTGGATTTATAGTACATCTAATTCTAAAATTTATAGGATAGTAATTTTCTTATATAGTTAAAATAAAATTATATTAAATAATAAATAAAAAAATACCTTTAGATAGAGCATTCAACAATTAAGGAATAAATTTAGTGTTGGATTTTCAACTGTTTGACCTAGGCTAGTTGCCATAGTTTTGAAAAAAATAAGTCGTTGGCCACAGACCTCTTGGCAAAAGTTTTCAAGTTTTTGTAAATATTTGTTTTTAAAAGTTTTAACAATTCATTAAATAATATTTAAGTCCATGTTTAAGAAGAAAAATTATATTTTTTTTTTCATAACATTAATTTATGGAATCATATCTTACCAGTATATTTTATTTTATTTCCTGTACCACTGTACTAAAAAACAATACAATTTATTATAAATTACATATTACATATTTATAAATATTACATATTTATATAAATATCACTAATAAGTTACAATGTAATTAGTAGTTCTTAAATAGATTTTGCGAAAATATATTGTAAGAAATTATTACCAATTATTATTACAAATAATAATAAATTAATAATAAATAATAATAAATGTTAATAATCATAAATTTGACCAACATTAATATAATTTATATCAACAAATAGTTAGAGAGGGAAAATAACTCCCTTGTGCGTTCTGATCTAGGCGTAATAAGGATTATTTGTATCTGAATTTATGAACTTAAAGTTCTTTCTTTTTAATTTCCTTGGGTAATGTCTTATTAAGACTAGTTAGGTTATTAGAGTGGTTTAATAACCTAGATATATATATTATTTTCCTAATTTGCCTAATTTTCCTTAATGCCTAATTTTTCTAAATTCTCTTTGATTATATCGATCCTTAGGACTTTGAGAATATACGTATTAATATTTCTTACAAACCCGAGAACCCTGCAAATACTATCGGACTCTGCAGTACTCCATAGTTGCATCGCATATGTCCAGCACGGTTTTATCATTGTAATAATAACATTGTATTTTATTAGATAAATACTAGATAGATAGATACTTCTTCTTTATTTCAAAATTTTTTAACATAAGTAAGTATTATGCATTAAATCTAAAAAAATCGGTTAGAGTTACTTAAATTATATTGAAAAATAAAAAATACGGCAATGACTTGATAGTCATCTGTCGAGGGTGTTGAATTTTTATTAATTTTGGCTTCTAGCTTAAAACTATTCACAATTCAAAATAGTTTTAAGCTATAAGAAAAATTTTATTATCTGGTACAAGTTTTGATTTAGGACCAACAGTTCAATTGGGATCAGAAGTTTTCAGTGTTGCTTATATTAGTTTATTATCTATATGATTTTTTCATGTCTAACTCCAGTCCAGTGTTACTCTCAGATAGTTAACAGAATCTTTTTGGAAATAGTTTGTTCAATAATAGAAAAAGAGTAAACACTAATTTTCCATTTAGTTCCTCCATTTTCCTCCATTTATTTTGATTGCTGCTTCAGCCTAGTTGTGACAGTAAGAGGATTTGAGTGAATGCTGAGTATTGATGTTTGTTTGTTGATAGTTTGTTTTGGTGATACCAGTTATCTTAACCAATTGTAACCTATTAAAGCGACTTGTGGTTATACAATCATGGAAAACCTATCGACTTATCTCTTTATATTACACATTTTTAGAAGACGTGCATTTAGCTCAGTTTTCTATTACGAAAGATTATTTGAGATATTATATAACGTATTTTCGCATTTATTGTAAAACAATTTGCATAGCTGGAATGCAATCTACGTTAGATTGCCAAGTGCAGGCCTCTTTGCGAAATACTATATGTTATATATCGAACAAATTTTTCATTTATTTTTCGGTTTCGTAACTGCAAATCAATTTAATTAGAAATAATTTTTGCAACAAGAATTCAATTCATGAATTTTTTAACACAAAGTATCTGTGTATCTATGTATGTGTGTATCTGTGAGTATCCATTGTTGCGAATGTAGTCACGTGTAGACAACATGGAAAACCTCAATTGACATAAATTTTAATCATTTGATTCAATTTAGCAAATCACAGTCGCAAACGTTACCCAAGACGGCTTGGATTGCGTGCTAAGCCTTAGAATTTGTCTAGAAAATCATAAGAAAAATCGGATTCGGCAAAGTGCATTGGCGATTCAGTTCCTCCGCATAGCAACTGACTCGGTGCCCAACTATTAAATTTATAACATATCAAATAAATATTTACTTAAGTTATTAGTTTTTTTCACTTAAGTGTTGTTATCTTTACTCGATTTACAAGTGTTTTTTTTTGTATTTGTGAAAACTATTGATTGCTGTGAATTCTCGTATGTATGACGCTTTAGTTTTGCTTATATACAATATTACTATATATATTACTTGACATTTGTGGTTCTTAGCCAAAGCTGTGACTACTAATTATATACAAAATATTATTATGAGATTGTAATATGAGTTTGTTTATTATTTTATATTCCATTGCAACATACGGTTTTCAATTTTATGCCATAGACCATATATACTATATATTATCTGGTTTACCCCCCACTCAACTTTTAGTTCGCAGTTCTCCGTAGAATTGTTCAGATACTACCATAAAAGTGTTTTATTTATAGATATAAAGTTATTGTTTATGCATATTTAATAATTATTTCAATGTATCTTATTAATACAAACTATTTAGATGGATTAATTATAGTATTTTGTATTATCTGATGTATTATCTGATGTATCCACTGCCTTTAATTACATGATAATGTAAATGAAGTAAGATAGTACATCTAACATTTTATAAGTGCAAATATGAAATTTAAATAAATAAATAAAAAATATGTATATATATGAATAAAAATAAAAGATCAGTCTGTTATATAATATTTATTTACAGTACATCAGTGTTAGATTTTTTATCACTTTAGTACTAAAACTTTAGTAATCATTATTAGTTTATTAAAAACATTAATATGGGTTGGATATTCATTCAATATACATTGTGACCGAAAGGTTTTCGGAGGTTCTCATTTAAAATTCGCGCGCTGTATATTTTTCGATATTTTAAGTTTATGTAGTTTGCCAGCACTGTCCTTAATTACTATGCCAAAAATGAGCGCGATCTGTCGGACAGTTCGTTTACGGCAGCTGTTGAAACCAGTTCACCTCAGTAGTGCGTTGCGAAAAAAACAATGGAAAAAAATATTGAACAAAGAGTTTGCATCAAATTTTGTTTTTCGAACGAAATTTCGTGTGCAGAATCGTTGCGAATGCTACAAAAGGCTTATGGGGAATCAGTTTTATCGAAAACTCAAGTTTATGAGTGGTACAAAGCCTTTCAGGACTGTCGTACGACCGTCGAAGACATGCCGCGTTCTGGACGACCTTCGACCTCTACCACCGACGAAAACATTGAAAAGGCAAAGGAAATCGTGTTCAAAAATCCTCATGTGAGTGTTAGAGAGATAGCACGAGAGCTAGGCATCGGTCGTGAGATGGCTCGTTTGATTTTGGTGGACAATTTGTGTATGCGACGTGTCAACGCCCGGCTTGTTCCGATTCACCTCAATTTGTTCAACATTATCAACGATTTTAAGGCCAAACATTCAATAAATACCATCGAACAGCCACCGTATTCACCTGATCTTGCACCGTGTGACTTTTTCCTGTTTCCCAACCTCAAATTACCACTCAGAGGAACGCGTTTTGAATCCATAGAAGACGTAAAACAGAATTCGCAGAGGGAACTCAAAGCCATACCGGAAAGCGCCTATAAAAAATGTTTTGATGATTGGAAGAAACGTTGGCATTTGTGTATCGCTTCTAATGGAGCATATTTTGAAGGAGATAAAATAAATATTGATGAAGATTAAGAATTTTGCGTTTTATTTATTTATGACCGGAAACTTTTCGGTCACAATGTATCCATTCAATTCAATATATTATAATGCTTTCGACTGTTAAGTCTACATTTCTTATGGTTTTTAGGGAAGACTTAAATGTAAACTAATATATTTTTTATAATTAAGCCAATTGGTGAATTTATTAATATAATTTTTGGGACTTTCCTTAAAGTTTATTAAAGCGTAAAGGGTAACTAATGAAGATGGGAGCTAACAGGAAAGACCAAAAAATGGTTCTATATTTCCTTTCGACCTATTTATACCATTCCAAATTTAACGTCTGGTATTTTAGAGGTTAGTATTTTGTTAGTTAGTACCAACACCCGGCTATACCCGGCTGCCTACCGGGCATAAGTGAATAAAATTATTATTTTAGATAATTTTCTCACTATTACGATCTTAACAATAAATTGAAATTAAATTTGTGTTCGGTGTAAGTTATATATTCCATATTTATGGTATTACTGATGCTGTAGAAACCACTAAAGAGCAAGTGTTCAACATTCAATATTCTAATGGAGTTCTACCAAATAACAATGTAAATAATGTAGAATATTAAATTCTTAACATACTGTAAATTACCATATTAACTAAATTTATGAAAATTAAATAAATACAAGTATATTATGTGATATTATTAAATTAAAAATTTTTTTCACAGGTTCTCCGGAAGGTATATATTTATTATTGATTGGATCAGAAACAACAGTTCTGGCCTCTAAATATAATTTAAACACGAAAGTATCATTTTGTAAGCTAAAATTCAATTATATTTTAAATATAATAATAATATTTTAAGATTAATATTATTTCAAAAATTATATATTACAGATATCAAATAATGGCGAATATAAAATTAAACTGGACGTTCAGATTGAGGTTGTCTCCAACATATTTTAAAGCTACGATTTTTCGCATGTACCTAGACAAGTAGTAATTTAAAATTTCTGCAAAACTGTTAAAAATATAGTTCTGAATTTAGAACCTAAGTATACTTAGATATAGTTTTCTAAGAATGACAGGTGGGGAAATAAATTGTATTATATTATGATGATTAGACAGACTTGTGTGTTGGCAATTGTTAGAGTTTAAAGCAATAAAACAGAGTCGACTATTTAATTATATATCAGAATCCACCGATTTCGAACAACTACGCCAAGTTCGAAATTTATGCAACAATAACATATTATGGATATAATTTAAATATTATAATTGTACCAATATACTAAATTATTATATATTCACTTTATTTTCTTAAAAATATTTTATTTTAAAATATAGTTCGCAATGTATTCCTACATTTTATTTTTAGTTTAATATATCTATAGAAATATTTAGAATACACTCGATTTTATATATTTATACATATATAATATTATATTTAGTTTCTTTGCATTAACAATTATTAACGAAAGCACCCACCTTACAACACAGACAATGGTTCTAATTTGTAATTCTCAACACTACAATCCTCGAAAAGTCTGGGTATGTTATGAACATAATACCTATTGTTTTATGCGGAATATTGTAAAGCTAATCTTTAAATAGATAAAAAAAGCAATATTATTGAAGAGCTAATAAATAGGTTTCAGAAACCTATATTAACTTTATTAGATTATTTTTTTTTTTTTGATTTTAGAAAATATAATTCCTTCAATGTTGTTGAATGTTGTATCATTCCACAATTAAATAACATTTTATGTTTTGGTTTGTTCCAATGTTTGGCCCGGGCTAGTTACCATAGTTCCGAAGAAAATAAGCCGGTGCATACAATCCACTTAGTCAAAGTTATGAAGTGTATGTCAATATTTGTTTTTAAAAGTTGTAAAAATTAAATAAATTGTTATTAGGTTCAGGTTTAAAAATAAAAAAAAAATTAAAAATGAAATTAAAGTTTGTTTACATATTATGTATATTAGTTTTTATATTTAACAGAACTGAAACCATTGAAGTAAGTCAGTGACATCTGTACGAATTGTATGTACTTATTAATAAAGTACATTTATTAAAAAATTTGAAATATATTTTAATAATATCAAATTAATAAATTTTTTTTTTAACTTTACAGGAAGTTCCTTCGTTTAGAATTATAGCTCCACAAAATATTTGCAAACAAGATTCTAATGCTACAGCTCTGAAGCTACCCGATGGCATAACTGTTAGGTTAGTATTTTTATTTAATTTGTGATTGGTCAAATAAATTAATAAAATATTTATTTTATATATAGTTTTCAACCAAAGGATGGCTTTAAGCTTTCATACAAGTTTCGAATATTTTTTAAAACGATAGGTCCAGAGATTTTTACACAACGTGAAACATTGATTGTATGGAAAGCAGTGAGAGCCCTTGAACAGCGGCTCAACACTAAAGATCGATTGACGATTTCTAAGGATAACATGGTTTTCATAAGTAAAGCTGAAGTAAGTAAAGTGTAAAATGTTGATACCTGGTTCATACCTTTTTATAAATTTTTTTTAATATTGATTTTTTGATCTATAAATCTTATTTTTGAACTCCTATTTTAAAATTTTACTACTATATAAATATTCTAATTGGATTTCCGAGTTACTTTACATTGTTAAACGAACTAAATGATGTTGTAATCTATTAGCAATAGATAATGTTATTTATCCCAACTAAAATATATATATATAAAACCAAATGATCAACAATATTAGAAACACAATTATAACTATTTTTGTACAAAGTTATTGTAATATCAAGAAAATCGGTTTTGTCCAGTATAAATCTAGCTTCATATCAGTCTGGAACCAGTATATCTTTTGAAATATTTATTGATATTATATATTAATAAATATTAATTACTAGCAATAAGCTATCCTATTTGATTGCTTTCACACCTTACTCTTTTTGTCTATAAGCTATAAGCCAGCCTGTAAACAGATAAAATATACTGATATACTTACATTATATATTTATATTATAATAGTAACAATTATATATATGTATGTGTATGTGGTAGTAAAACGGTGAAAAATCGGTAACTGAGATACATGGAAAGTTATATATATATGTGTAGTTCTATTCCTTCCAATTATAGTAAACACACAATTTGCTCAATATCATCATCTTTACAATAAATGTAAAATGGCACAACGCAAGGCTCTGAGAAGACTTTTCAAGATACCATTGTACATTAGGACTAATGACATCCTCAGGGACCTCAAGATTGATCTGATTAAAAAATATATAAAGGATAGAGCCCTGAAACTATTTGCGAAAACTGACAGACTTACCAACACCGCGTTATCAAATCTCAGAATGGTTACAGGCTCCTCGGGAAGGTATGAAGATCTGAGGTCAATTATTGCTTAGTCTGATGATTTGATAAACAATAATCCAGTCAAGGCGTAAAGAGAGGTTTTGAAAATACCTCGAATTAAGAAAGCTATTTCAGCACTGGCTCAAATAGCTTCAACATAATTATTTAAATTTATATTATAATGATATAATTTTGAATATGAAGTAACTTTTATCTTTATTTTACTTTAAGGTTGTAGCCGGTGTAAGTTATATATTCCATGTTTATGGTATTACCGATGCTGGAGAAACTACTAAAGAGCAAGTGTTCACCATTCAATATTCTAATGGAGTTTTTCAAAATGAAAATGTAAATAAGAAAAAATTATAACCTATTTTAACTAAATTAAATAAATAATTCAAATATATTATGTCAACAATAATATTAAATTAAAATTTTTTTCCAGGTTCCAGAAGGTATAAATTTATTATTGATTGGATCAGAAACAACAGTTGCGGCCTCCAAATATAGTTTACATGCGAAAGTATCATTTTGTAAGCCAAAGTTCAATTATTTTGTAAGTATAATGACTTTCAATATATCTATATTAAATAATATATAACTATCTATATATACCACATATACCAAATTTGTAAGTTAATGATTTTTTTATTTTACAAAAAAAAATATTTGGTTTCTTCAATACAGTGTATTAGAGATAATTATCATACAAACACGATTTACTTATAAAAATAGCTTAATTGAATTATATTGGAAACAGACTCTCCAACTATTTGGATGAATCATATGAAGCATTTCTTAACTTTAAAAGTAAAGCCTTATCCATAGATTTTATAGTGAATCCTTTTAACTTTTTCATATTGAGTTATCTGTGGCAACTTATCTGTTCGACTTATAATACAAAAAAATCTAACCTAAGAGATTAAGTAATCGCTTCCTGCATTTATATATAATTATAACGAAAGAACTTCTAATGCTGAATATAAATGGCATCCGACTTGTCACAGGATTTCTCACAGACTTTGTTACGAAGAAGAGAAAACAGCAGAAGACATTTTGTGTCACTGTGATAGCCTTGCCAGACTCAGACTTTAATACTTATCAACTGCCTATCCCCTTATAACTGAATTAGGCAACATCTCTCCAAAGGACATAATGGCGTTTTTAACTGCAACTCGTCTATAGAACTGAAGTGGGTTTGTCACAATAATACTCAAACGATGCCACAACAATAATTCTCAAACGATGCCGTAACGTAGTGACAAGTTTTCAACCCGTTTAAAATCTAATCTAATCTAATTTATATATATTTCCAATATATATAACTTCAAGAGTATTACAAGGTTTATTATTCCATCATAATATTCATATTACAAAACAGTATGTCCATAAATGTGCCATAGAGCTGAACCTAAAGTAATTTTGCCGATTGCCGACTATTATTTCAGGTAACTATGTTTAACTACGTCTCGTAATACATCAGATATCTGAATATTACTCGATCTTATAAAGTTAAAAAAAACTAACTTTTATTACCGGAATTACTGCATACTTTCCAAGACTTATAATTTTTACCAGAACTATACAGAACTATAGAACAATAGTCTCATAAATTATCTTATAATAAATTTTATATTAAAAATATATTATAATATAACAAAATGCGACTAAGATATAAAAATGTTAACTATTTCATTTCTTTTAAGATACGTTGGAAAATTCATAACTTAGATGAGGAATTTCAAGAGTTGCAGCATGTCACCGCCACTACACTTAATATACCAAAAAATGTGTTTGAACCGGAAAGCAGCATTTCCATTGAAGCTCTCGTATTGGAAGTGAATAGCACAAGACTACTAGCCAAAGTAATTACTTAACGCCCAATATTCTAAAACGATAAAAAGGGCTAACTACTTATTGAAAAATAAAATAACAGAAATAATAATATTTTCCATATATTAAAGGATTCTATTGATATCAACGTTGTTAGTAGAGGTCTTCAAACACACATAATTCCATGTTCAGCGAAAATCGGAGTAAATAAGCCCTTAGCATTTCAATTATTTATAAGAGACTTTGATAATGAAATGGAAAATATTGAAGTAAGAATGAAATATAAAAAACTACAATAATAACAAACTCAATAAATCGATTTGTAGATGTATTGGGAATATTTTGATATGGACGATGTTTCCGAAATATATACCGATATACAACAAAGAGATACGAAATTTATTGTTACTTTTCCAAAACCTGCCAGGTAATTAATTAGTTTTTAAACTTGACATTATTTAAGAAATTATATTTCACAGATATCAAGTGGTGGCTAATATAAAATTCAATGAAAAGATCACTAAAGAAATCGCTGAAGTTGAGGTTGTCTCCAATATATTTTTAAGCTATGACTTTTCGCATGTACCTAATCTCAATCCCGCTACAAATTCCTCATTTCATTTGAGTGTATTAGTAACGGATTTAATTCCGGAATGCAAAGCAGGTTGGACTTGTGCCCAAGAAGAAGGATTTAAGTACATTAATCAGGATGATATTGTGGGTGCTGTATTTACACAATATTTAATAAAATATTTATTTAATTCTCATTTAGGGCAAAGATAACTTTGGGCACACTGAAGTTTCTAATTTAGAAAAGAATTTCTTGACAGAAATAGCAGATTTTGGAAATTCTACAGTTAATCGAGAAATTGTTTTAAAGATACCTGCTCCAAGTATGGATAATACTCGATGGAAAGGTTTACAAGGAGATGTACGTTATAAATTTCGCTTAGATGCAGTTTGTCCAATGGCTTACAGTGAGGTGGAAACTTCAAAACAATTGGTAACCAGTCATTTTGAGTTTATAATTAATACCAACTCTCCACCAGCAGCAGGAAAAATTGAGGTGATCTAAAATATACTTGTACAATTAATAAATATGAATAATGCATTTGTTAAAATGGAGTCCTTTTAAAACCACTAATAACTTTGCAGATCAGACCATATAAAGGAACAGCTTTAAGAACAGTATTTCAAATAAGTGCTTCCAGTGGTAAAGATTTATTACTGGATTCTCCCATCACTTATGAATTGTGTGGAAACTTTGATGGTTCTACTATTTGTTTTGGAGAATATCTGGAGTATAAATCATGGGATTCTGTATTACCTTACACAAGTAAATATAATGTATATTATGTCTTATATATTATCTACTATATAGAATAGAAAAACTTTTCTGAAATGGTTCCAAAACGAAAACAAAATACAATACTATCCATCTTCTATGCTTAAGTGTTAATATTGTTACAAAATAAGTCTAGTACCTTCATATTATTTTTACTGAATTAATAATGGTCAGAAAATTTTATTCAACTGAAGTAAGGTCTATGAATTTAATTAATATATGCATAGTGTAGATGTGAAGTATTTCTCTAGGGTTAAGAAAGTGAGTCTCATAGATAATAGTACACTACTGTACCTAAACGTAATAATAAATTAACTATTAATTAATCAGTGAAAAATACCTCCATACTTTCTTAATAAGAAGATCTAAGGAACCCACATTTACATATTGTTAGATAGTCACGGCGCATTAAGAGTACTTCAAGCTGCAAGGATTACATTAAATATAATAAATAATTCATTAGACCTTCCCAACGCATTAGGGAGCTTACTACTATATTGATAGAATAGATCCTAAGTGAGATAAAAATATGTCTTTAATTGGTTCAGAGCCGTTTTATAAACTCACCACTTAAATAAGGCTACTATGAAATGGAAGGAGACAAAATTTATGGACAATTGGCCTAATAGTGTAGATCAATCTCAAGAAAAATATTTTTATACTATCGGTGGGAGTATCAAAGTATCAAGTTAGATACTTTCGCTTAACACGGTAGACTTAAGGACTCTCTGGGTTGATTACTTTACAAATCATTGCAACCTGAGGTATCACTTATATAATTTGGGGTCTCGGATATTGATGTCCATCGTTTTTGTAAAATAAATATTGAGAGTCTAGAGTATATTTTTTGTAAGTATTCAGTTTTCGACAAACAACGGCTTCATCACTTAGGTGATATATATGACTCAATGTAATTTATGGAATAAAAAAATAAAAACTATGTTATAATTTAAAAATTTACAGAATACGTGTCAATCCTAATATAGACAATAGATCTATTTCAACATATGTATTATATATATGCATTTGTTATGTTAATTAATGTATATTATTTTTTTCTAGGTAGTCCGATTAAATTATTTGTCAAAATATGTGATGTTAGAGGGGCTTGTAATATAATTTATGGAGACCCATTATCTATTGACTATACTACAATAACTGATACGGAATTCAACATGCAAAAAGAAATTGTAAAATCGGCATTTATAAGAACAGATTACGAGACTGCACATAATCTCATATTTATGGCAGCACTTACATATAAGGTAAGTTAACCTCTTAAAAGTTGATTGAATTTATTTCATCTGTGTTTTATTCAAAAAGAATGCTGATCTGAAAAGATATAATGAATGGCGAGACTATATAAAAGATATTATGCATAAAGAAATAAATAAATTGGTGGAACACCCGACTACACAATTTTATATCTCCCATAATGAAATTATACAATTTGTCTCAAGAGCCAAAAATAATTTGGAATTACTTGATTTAAATGATCCATCGACTTTAGAAAAACTTCTGGAAGTTCTAGATCAAATAACTACAGTGAGTGCAAATAATGATATAGCAAGTCAACCCGATGCGCAGGGAAAAAATTTAGAAATGTTGGATAGATATAGAAGTTACTCCGGTGACCGATACACAAATAATAAAGTAAAAACAATTTCTGTGGATTTGGCTTATGTTGAAATGAACTTGCAACTTATACAAGATATACTCAAATCAAGGAGTAGTAATGGCTCTACGGATAACATAAAAGTTACTGAGAGAGTAAATTCATTGGTGGAGAAAATGTGCTACAGTGAGCTAATTCTTAATGAGAACATTAGTAAGTAATGAAGATATAACAATATTTAATATTGTTAATAATAATAATAAAAGGTATTCGTGAAAATTGCCCAACAGCCGGTACTGCGGCCAGAAGAGACCTATTGTACCAGTTTCACTATTGATTAAACAAAGCCCCTTAAAGCTTTGTGAATAAAGTCTAGAACTAAATCTAGAGAAGAGTTCTTAATCTGTTCTGGTGACAGAAATTCCTTATGAAACAGGTTTCTTCTGTGCGTTATTAAAGCTGGACAGTCACAAAGAATGTGCATGGTTGTTTCCTCATCTTCGAGGCATAATCTGCATTCCGAGTTAGCAGATAATTGTAGTTTATGAAGGTGATATTTCAGACCATAATGACCTGTAATGAAACCCGTTATCATCCTTAAATTACATTTTGAGAATTTAAGAATGTTTTTGTAGGAGTAAGGTGTTATCAGTGCTTTGCTTTGTCTGAGTCCTGGAAAGTTTACCCAGTACTCTAGCCGCATATGATTTTCCATTTCCTTGATAATCTGTTTTGTACTAGCCCAGTTTATTCCACAAAAGGGTTGAGGGCCTATAAAAGCAGTTTTTGATGCAGTTCTGGCAAGCTCATCAGCTTTTTCATTTCCCAAAACTCCTCTGTGGCCCGGAACCCAGTAAAGGTTTACCTTATTCCGAGCTGCAAGTGATTGCAGAAGATCGTAACACTCAAGGACCTGTTTTGATTTGAAAGTCCAAGAAGAAAGAGCTTTAAGAGCAGCCTGGCTGTCAGAGTAAATAACAATTTTCGAGCCAGAAGGTTTTTTGATTAAATTGGATCTTACACATAAGTTGATTGCGTGGATTTCAGCTTGGAAGACACTCGGCCATGTGCCCATTGCTTCCGAAATGCTGGTGTTGGGTCCAAATACACCAGCGCCAGTGCCTTCATCCATCTTTGATCCATCTGTGTACCAAACCAAACTTTTTGGGTCAACCTGTGGGCCTCCATTCTCCCACGTTGAACGTGATGGTAGGTGTACCTCAAATTTTTTGCCAAAACGATGGAGTTCTGTTGTATAGTCTCCATCGCATTGAGGAATTTTATGTGCTCCAAATATTTTTAATATTGTTGTATGACCATAGTCAAGACAACTCTTGTTCATGTGGAGTTTTAGTCGAAACGCACTAAGCGCAGCCGTAGATTGAATGTGTATGTGCAGAGGTGTCAATCCAAGTATAGCCTCAAGTGCTGCAGTTGGACTTGTCCTCATAGCACCAGTCATTAAGAGACACGCTAATCTCTGGAGCTTCATGCAAACAGCAATAGATCCAGCCTGTGTGACCTTTTGCCACCAAACCAGGCAACCATATGTCATGATAGGACGTACTACTGCCTGATATATCAAAAATATAATCTTTGGGTTTAGGCCCCAAGTTTTACCTATACAGGACCGTATTGTCCATAAAGCCGTTAATGCTTTGTTATATACTTTATTTAAGTGTGAACTCCAAGTGAGTTTACCATCTAGGACAACACCTAGGTACTTTGTTTCACTGGAAAGAGAAATATTAGTGTTTCCTAAACGTACGGGACCTATGTCTAGTTTACGTTTGAGTGTGAAAGGCACAACAACAGTTTTCTCCGGATTTATGGAGAGACCCTCACTTTCGCACCACGCTAAAATGCGTCGAAGGTACCCTACCAAGATCTCTGATAGACTGCTACCATGCTTTCCAGATACTATTATAACTAGATCGTCTGCATACCCAATGGCGTCACAACCAATATTCTCCAACAAGATTAAAAGTTCATCAACAACCACTGACCAGAGCAAAGGAGACAGTACTCCACCCTGTGGGCAACCTTTTGCGGCCTCAACAGCTACAGACGTTCTACCTAAGGTTGATGTAATTTTTCTGCTTTGAAGCATCGCCTCAATCCAGGAAATAACATTAAAATCAACATTTCTGTTAGTTAAGGCATTCGAGATCGAGCCATAACTCGTATTGTCGAAAGCTCCTTCAATATCCAGAAATGCACAAAGCGCAATTTCTTTGTTTTTGTGGGCCTTTTCAATAATATTGTTACTTAAGTTCTAAAGATTTTATTTATATAGGCATATATATATAAATATTATTTTTGATTATTGCAGAAACAAATTTTGCTAGTATAAGCATTTCTAAAATGACAGGGAATTATCTATTAAAAAAGGAATTTTCTATTTCTGCTATTCATACCAAAGAGGAAGGCTCATTTAAGATACGTCAAGCAAATTTAATATCTGAAACAACTCCATATTGTGTGTCGATAGTGCAATATACTGAAGATTTTTTTACTAATCAAAATAACTACGTTATTAACCTCGCCGTCTTTGACTTAAAAATCCTAACGTCTGTATTAGATTGGAAGGCCAATGAAGCACATCAGGAACCGCATACTCATAGTTTACAAATAAAATTAGCGAAATCTAAATCAGATGAAAATATTGTAAGTTTTTTTAAAGTAAATAATCCGTTTTAAATTAATCATGAATCATTAAACTCATCTTAGTGCCTCTCTAGAAGGAATAGGAATAGTGCTTGGGTAACAGACAATTGCAAGGTTAAAGCTGTTAGTATTCTACATGTGTTCTGTAGTTGCTTCTACTTAGGATACTTCAGGTAATAATAATATCGAATAGGTATAATATTATACCATTGATAGATCAATAAAGAAACACGAATCGAATATATTATTCGATAAAGAATAATAATGGCTAAGATACTTTCCTTTATTAATACTTAAAGAGGTTTTTTCGAGGAGTTGTAAACTACAACAACAAAAATTCTTTTTATATTATTTTAATTAATTGAATTTTTGACTGACCATACAGCTGTTTCGAGTATTGGCAAATACCCATCATCAGTAGTCTTGGAAATAATTCTTGTATTTAATTATTCATAAATAATCTCTTTGAGACTGCAAGTACCAGGAATCGAAAAATACATTATTAATACTTTTTAATTAAAAATAATAAATAGCTTTTTAAAAATGAAAGATAGGTATATTAATACCTATAATAATAGGTATATTAATCTTGCAGCCGAAACGTAGGAAACGGATCCGATAAATGGTTCCTACATTTTTATGTAAAAAGTGTAGATATAAAGTATTAAAATAAATTTAATATTTAATTTTATTAAAATAAATAATTAAGGGAATTTTTAAAGCCTATTAATATATTTATCTTTATCTGTGATTGAATTTATATTGTAGAATTTATTAAAGTATAGTTAACTATAGATTTAAACATAAAAACTTAAATAACATGCTCTTATAAAAATCTATAAAATATTTTAGACTCTCTGCTATAAAAAACAATCATGACAATGGAATTAGCTTTCGTCCGAGTCCAACTAAGAATATTATTAGTTTCCCTAATGATAATCACATCACACCGAACATATTTTTATCATCGACCAGTGAAGCAACCACACCAGCTCTCTTTACTATGGCGGCAGTACCTTCACAAAATATTAGTAATATAGCTACCACAATGTATGTAACTCGACAAGAACTTCGAACTACAACACCAGCAAATCATAAAATTGATGCGGATATTGAGAAAGGATATATAAAAACTGCTAAACCAAATGAATCGGTTAAAAAGGGTAAGTACTTATTTTAAATGTTTATTCTTATTGAGAATCAATATCTGCTTCTAAAAAAAAAATATACTTAGAATTAAAATTGAATGTATCCATTATTAATCTATGGTGTAGATACAGTTTGTAGCATTTGCTTAGCTGATCATTAATTCACAAGCTTTGGCTATTGATACGGTCATGCTGTAATTGCTGATATTTAAAAAGTTGTAAACAACATAGCTAGAATAAGCACCTTAAGAGCATCTAAAGTAGTGAGCTGGTTTATCGTTCGGCCAATAAAGAATTAACCTTCTTTAGAACGCCAGAGCTAAGGTCGCTGCTATTTACCTTGCGGTAAAGGAATTATAATATTCTCGTGTTAAGGCATATCTATCGTTCGATACCGAACGGAGGTTTATATCTGGTACCTCGGGGACAGTGTCCGCAACTTCGGCTGTCCTGACCAATTGAAGTTGACAGTGTCGTGGTGGCTGTGGTTAGACCTAAACTTTCACGGGAAGAATGATTGCATTTTACTTTCATTCGGCGTGGAACTGCGTATTCATACTGTATGATATGGCCCAAAGATCAGTAGAAGTGTTGGTAGGTCTCACTCCTTACCAAGGGGTAAGTTATAGCAAACATATAACTAATAGGTTATAATAGGTTTATTCAGTAGTACAAATATACAGTAAAAATTTAGCTTAAAATCCAGTTAATTCATTTACTTGTTTGTCCAGATATCTAAAGTAAACTGTAACACTAAATACAAGCATTCACTGCATTTGAAATTAATTTATTTATTTCATATATAAAGAGGTTTTCGAACAGAAGTGAAACAACAACAAAAATTTATTTTTTAAATTATTTTAATTAATTGAATTTTTGGCTGACCATACAGCTGTTTCAGTATTGCCAAATACCCTTCATCAGTGGTCTTGGAAATAATTCTTATATTTAATTATTCGTAAATAATTATTTTTGAGACTGCAAGTACCAGGAATCGAACTCGGGTCCTGCCAAATATGAAGCTCAGAATCATATTTATCATATAATCATATTTATTTCATATATTCATCTTACATTACATTAGTATTCATTGTATTCATAAATATATATATAGACAGATTTTAACTAAATCTCAGGTCAAAATATTCTTACTCGATGCAATCATACCACATGTTTGTTTTTATATCATCTTTACCACATGAGTTAAAATTATTCTAAAAAAATGATAAAGTTAATTTAACTAGTATGTGGTTAATGGATATTTTTCTAAGTGTACATATCGACGGGATATTTACTATGAACTCTTAAAGAATTGAATATCCTACAATTGTATTTTCATTATGAAATATTCACATAAGGCTTCTCTTTCCTGTTGACTAAACTTGCAGAGTTACGATTTAATTTGTGGATATTATATGTGACTTACTACATTCAGTATTTTAAAATTTTTAATAGTCTATCAGCATTCATTAATGGCGTTGTCGATTGGTAAATTTAGATTCAATCTAGATTTACACTCGATCTGTCAAACGAACGTTTTTAGAGTAATCTTACTCTTTTATAGTTATGTTAGTGGGTATTTACGTTTTTCATAAATACATATATTGAATATATTCACATTTTATCTGCTTAAATTTAATAAAAATATATTTTTAAATATAAAATTTAATTTTTCATCAATTTAAATTATTAAAAATTAATTTTATTTATAAATAAAAAATTTATTAAATATTTTTGAATGCAAATTCAATATTAATTTAAAATTTTATGTGTAATTTTAAAAAATATATTTTTTTATAATTAATAAATATTATTTTAAAAATAAAATGTAAAAATTTAATTTAATAAAAATATATTTTTGAATATAAGATTTAATTTTTTATCAATTTAAATTATGAAAGAATAATTTTATTTATAAATAAAAAATTTATTAAATATTTTTATATACAAATTCAATATTAATATAAAATTTAATATATAATTTTAAAAAATATATTAATATGAATTTTAAGCAGCTAAAAATTTCAGGATAATCTTGCTAATCTGGAAAATATCTAGAGTACTATAAATTAATCTTGAGTGTTATATATTTCGCTCGAGATTTATCATTTGACAATAAAAATTGTACTAAAAGTGTATCTTGATTGGAAAAGTTACCCCAGTTTTAGCAATCGAAAACATCATAAGTACCGCCTATATTAATGTTTAAACTTTGAAAGCCTAGCACTTAAATCTATCCAAGCTTCCAACTTGTTAAATAAGAAATAATAATAATAAATCACTTATGTATCGTGTTATACAAGGTTAAATTATTAAAACTACACTTGTGTAATTATTGAAACAATATTATAATCACTACATTTCACTAAATACAACCAAAACAAATGTTTGTTTTTGTATTGAGCAATTGGATGGTTCTTTAAAAGTTTGTCGATTTATTTATATTGAATATAATTCTATATTAAATTAAGAAAATAAAATACAACAAATTTTGTATATATTTGTACCCTTGAGATGTATATATTGTCATAACCAAATGATATCTTCAGACTTGGAAGATAATTAGTTTGGAATATTACTAATAGTTTCAAAAATGTTTATTTTAATTAAAAAATATTAAATCTAATGGTTAGAGGACAATATTTTTTTAATCCTTCTTTTAAAAATAGACTCAAAATGATATATTTAGAACGGAAGTGTTCAAGTTGGGTAGTGACCTGTAATATTCCCACTTAAAATTAAAATAAATCTTTCACAATATTTGATTGAAGACCTTTTTTAGAAATTAATTATATATCTTCTTGAATTTCTGTAGAATGTAATATCATCAATTTGCTTTCTTTAATAAATAGTGTTAGTCTTAGTTTTAACAATACTAACGATATACCAACATAATTTTATGTGTATTTATGTATAGATATGTACATGTACATTCACAATCTCATAATATATATATTAAACATTTTATTTATTTAGTTGTTAATTAATTCTTTATTTTCATATAACACAATTAAACTATTTCTATAATAATAATATTAATTTTATAATTTTCGTGTTTTGCTTATAAAGTTTTTAAGAGCACGTATACTTGTGTACACACCTGGTAGAACACCACAACCCTTGCCATATGAAACCAGACCAATTAATTGATTATTGTATGTAACTGGACCACCTGAATCACCAAAACATGCATCCTTGCCAGATGTGAATGCACAAAAATTATTTCTTGTTGTTGGATAGTAACGTTTACACCTAGCTTTTTTAATCACTTTCACATCGGTGTATTTTAATACATCTGATTGAGAGCCTGTCTCATCAATACCCCATCCCCAAATTCTCACATTACTACCAACTTTTGTGCCACCTGTTGACAAAGCAATAGTTTTAATATTATCGCCAATTAATGGAGAAGTTAATTTAAGCATAGCTATATCCATATTCATATTTCGTGAATTAAAACGTTTTGCAATAGTTATCATTGCTACACTTCTTGTAACTCCACCACTATTTAAGGCCGTTGTACCGCCTCTTACTTGCACATCAGCAATAGTTTTGCCATCAACGCAATGAGCTGCAGTAATTACTCTGTCTGGGTCTATTAGAGCTCCTCCACAAAATACACCTTGACTTGAAAATAATTGAACTATGAAGGGTGCTTGAGAAATTGTTGTTGTTGTACCACCGACTATTTTACCTAATTTCTTATTAGCATTAACGTATCCAGTTTCTAAAATAGAGATAATAATAAAAACGTAAAATAAACCGCTGAACAACATTATTTCGCTTAAACTATTTGGTTAGTAATGAAGAACTGTTAGAAAATTTAGATACTTGCTAACTTAGGTATATAATTAGAATAATTTTAAAAATTTTAATTTATTGTTTATTTTTCACATAACATAAAAGCAAATTGGTATAATTAAAACAATTGTGTAAACATAATTGAGATTTCTAATTTAAGGTACTTTCATTAATTTTCAATATAAATTATATATCATACGACACTTTTATCCAAAAAACAAAAACAACACGCTTCAAAAATTGGCCAGATAATAGGTTAATAGCCATAGTTGGAACATGGAACATGAGAAGACTAGCGAAACTCTCTCGAATAACACTAGTGTACCGTTAATAATATATCGCTCTAAAATGACCGTCAAGAGTCTGATCAAAGTAATCAACAATAAATCTAAAATAATCAAAGTAATGGTTATAGTTACTGTAACTCCGTTAAATCAGCCTAAAACTGTATAATATTGCCTTTAGCATCAATCTAACTGAATCTGTTTATTACTTGAACCTTAATAAAATTTATCTTGCCTACACGATATTTTGAAAGAAATGACTTAAGGTATATATATATCAAACTACCCATATGGCACAACCCGTCCACAAATAAAATAGAAAAAAGCAACTGATTGACTTTGATTACTTTTCGCTAATCCTGTTTATTACCACTCTAACAAGACTTTGCCTTATGAGCAGTTATAACTACTAGAGAGGGGTAAACTATTGAAGTAACTGTCTAAACCAATTGAAGAGAAGTAGAGAAGTAAGTTCCGTTTTCCTCTTAATCTGAAAATGGTTGAAATTTGACACAGACGGTCATCTAGGTATACCTTTCTAATTTGTCTATTTGATTTCTCCAATGAAAAAATATATATGTATTTAACCTAGAAATATTTTTTATCATATTACATATATCATATATCATGATATAGTAAAGATTCTGATGTAGTTGTTTTTAAAAATTGAAAATTATTCAAAATATCCACATCAATGAGGAAAATTCATTTCAGTTATTAGGGGAGAGATATATGATCAAAAGGTTTAACACCTCTCTTTATCTAGGTTTATTTAAGTTAGAAAGCTTGGGTGTGACGTTGGCGTAGATAAGAGAGTATGTGAAGAGGGCGAATTAAATTCTAGTTTATTAAGATCTTTACAAAATTAGCATAATGTAAACTTAGGTTATACTGACACTAGTTGACAACACACATATTTTTTTTAAATATACGGCTGACATTTTTGACGTCATTCAGATGCTTACAGTATTCATAGTTTTGTTTTGGATCTATCGTATTCATATAGGGGCTTAAGTTAGATATTGTTAGTATTATGCAGATTTTAAAAATATTGTCTATTACTTCTGTACTAAAATCTTAATCTCTATTTCTTTAAGAAAAATAAATTTTTATTGTTTATTAAAACAATTAAAAAATATATTTAACTAACTCAGTTGCATTTGAGTTTAATTTATTTAATTTATATAATTTTCATATTTGTAGCTTCGCCTTTAATTTACGCTATACCAGTTGCATTGCTTCTAATCGTTGCAATAGTCTTTGTCTTCCTGATGATTTTGTACCGTCGTCGACCTAAGAAATCAAATGCATCCACAATTCCTGGACTAAATATTGTAAATATGATTGGATATAATATATTTAAATAAATTAATAATTATATTCTATTTTAGCAATTGGAAAGCAGACAACGCCAAGCTGGAATCAAATATGCAACGATCTATGATCAACATTTAGTTCGTGGTAGCTTTTGAGAGTTTAGATGGTTAATAATATTTTTTAGTATTAGAAAAATAATATGTTTAACTAGATTTTTTATACCCTACAGTTATTAATTATTAATTTTTTTCCCCCCAAAAATTTTATAAATCTTACACTAAAATACTTTTAATAGTAAGTTTGTTATTTATACTATGTATAAGGCATTATCCTTACAATAAATGACATAAAATTAAATTTTCTACATTAAACGATTAAAGAACTTTGTGACCATATCAACAGTTAAGTACCACTAAATTCATCCCCTAATATTTTGACAAGAAAAAAAGACTCCACAAATGAATAAAACAATCAAAGTTGCCCTATCACATTGACCCATAAGTAGTCTCTGAAAACGATTGAAAAGCATTTAACAAAATAAATGAGAAAAACAAACCCAAGGAAACTAGACTACAAAATGAACTTACGCAGCACTAAACAATGTGTTTGTGTGCCTTGTGCGATGTGCGATATGTTCACAGTTTGGGTGTGTAATGCTGTAAAACGTCACTTTTTATGATTTTGACTGTGAATTTCTGAGGTTGACCGCCGCAGTCGTGTGGTTTGTTTACTATTTGTTTGCTGAGAAGCGCGTAAAACTAATTGAACTGATGAAGGCTCTGATGGAAGGCAAAATGGAAAGTCATTATTAGCGCCAAATAAGGTACGTCGACATCCTGCAATGCTTGCAGGTGGGAAGCGCTAATTTAAACGGTATTTACACATATGGACTGGAAATATAACGCATAGTGCAAAAAAACCCAACCTAAGTGTGATGTCTGCAATGGTAGCGATGGAGAAAAATTCATTAAAAACTACTGACTCTGATTTGGTAATCGACTTAAATAAAATTAATTGGTTCGATATTCATTAATTTATTATTACTGGCATTACTTTAGACCAATTAGTTCTATATTAAATACTACTGATTCTGATTTGGTAATTGACTTGAATAAATACTTGGTTCGATATTAATCAATTTATTATTACTGACATTACTTTAGACCAATTACTTTTACCTCTTTCTGTATTTTGTGTTTTAGTTTCTTTATAATTTTGAATATATGAGAAATTATTAAAAACAATTTCAAAGTATTTTCATTATAATATGTTAATATAATTTACTTATTTTCATTTATGCCAATGAAAATAAGTAAAGTGGTATATATTTTCAAACTGTTAGTGAAATGAATATTTAAGCCACAAGGATAGCTTAAGGTTCTGACTTCGACTTTGGCTATTCAACAAACTATATTAATGGCGTTCATTTATGAATTATTTTGGAATTGTTTATAAATATTGTTTTATAATAAACTCATAATAATAAACTATTTTGCAATAAACTCTTAAACATATATTAGTAATGAAGTATATATTGTCCTATAAGACATTACTTATCAGATAGTGTAACATCTTACGGAATTTACTATAACTAACTTTTAAATTATAATGCTAGTTACACTATTGAAATCGTACTTATATCTCTTATATTTCTCTGATTTATATCAGAGAGTTTTTAAACCAAAATAGACTTTCACTTCAAAAATCAAAATCAGTTTTGATTTATCAGATTATCAAGATATAATTCTTATTTCTATAGAAAACATACTAAGACTTCAAATATATTATTTTATAATTGCGTACCAGTGCTATAAAAACTATAATCTCTATAAGATATTGATTGCCAAGCTCAAAATAATCAAAGAGAAAAAAATTGAAGGTATCTTAAAGGTATTATAAAGGTGAAATATCTCTTCCTTTCATATAGTTTAAAGAATAATTGTGGTTTAGGTAAGTCATTTGTAAGACAATACTGTATTTGTTTTTTATTAATTTCCTCCTAATATTATATATAGCAACTTATATAAATTAAAAAATCATCAACATTTTACGGGAAGATCTGTAGTATTGAAGTAGTTTGGATGTAGAATAATTTTAATATAGGTACTTTCAAAAAACCAAGCTAAGTAAATCTGAACTGATCGGTGTACTAAATAATTTAATGGATTAATATATGTAGAAACATATTAAATTTTATGGAGATAGGAACTATTAACGGAACCTTTTTTAAAATAGTCCTGAAAACCATTTCGTATTATGATAATATTTAACGTAATGAAATACAATTATAATTTCTATTTAATAATTATTAAAAGCTTATTATCGTAAAATTAAAAAAAAAACTGTTTATAAGTGAAATAAAACGTAGTATAATTTTCCTAGCTCTCTACATTTAATTAGATTTATTTATTAATTTTTTTAAAAAATAAATATAATAATAAAATAAAAATAATATATAATATAATAATAAAATGTAAAAATGTAATAAATTATTACCTACCTTTAAATTAAATTCCTTTAAATTATCTACCTTTAAATTACAAATAACTTTTAATATTAAATATTAGATTTATTAAAAAATAAATAATAAGCGTTTAATAAACAATAATAATAATAATAATAAAATAAAAAAAAGTTCAATAAAAATAAAGTGTAATAATATAGTAATTAATATACTATAATATATATAGTAAATAATATAATAATAAATAATATAATATATTATTATAATAATAATAATATATATATAAATAAAAATAAATGTCTATTAAAAAATGTCTTCGATTGAAAGTATTTTACTTTTTTATATTATATTTATATTTATATTTTTATATATTATATTTAATCTACTCTTTGTAGTAAATATTTTTACTCTGAGTAGTTAGAAAATTTTTAAGACTAACCGATTACTTTTTACTTAAATACTCATAAGACAATCATTGCTATTGTCCTCAATTTTTTAAAAGACGACCATTAAAATCATTTAGCCACTTTTAATTTTCTATTAGCACTTTTGCCTTCAGTTTCGGTTTGTTCTTCATTGTGTTCGCAACGGTTAAGTTCTTCAGTATTTAAAAGTGAAAGTGAAATTGTCTCCCCCTGCCTCTCACATACACTTATGTGGGGGAGACTCTTCGATAAAGTAGGAATTATGAAATCATGGCGAAAATTATATCAACCATCAAAGCGATTTTAACTCGCATTATCTTCAGCGCCCATAGCATGATTGCAATTTGGCAGGTGACCGAGAATAAAGGAGAGATTATATATTGGACACTTTGTGGACCTTTGTTCATATTATTATTGGAGGCTATTTTTACGTTGATGATTAAGAAAACCCAAGAATGGCGTTGGTAAGATACTTAGTAATTTTTTTATTTATTTATTTATTTTGTAAAATTAAATTTTTTATTTAACTACGAATAGTAAATCTATAGTCGATAAACTTATATATTATACATATAAAAATATATTTTTTTTTTCTTATGATCCAAATGGTCTGATTTATTTTCCAATGTAAACAATGAAATTACGTCATGTTTTGCTTTGATTTTCAATTAAAAAGTGAAATCATAATTTTTTTTTATTTATTTCCAATAATGAAATATTTTTATGAAATTCCCAAGTTCACACTTGATTGGAAATAAGATACAAATTTATATTATTGAAACAGATGTCTTCAATAAATTTTCATTTATTTTCCGAAATTAATATTAAAAAACTAATGAAAATATTATTTACATCTCAGTTTAATTTTATATATTTTTAAATAAAATATTATGTTTTAATATTTTTTGAGTTAGTTGTTTATATCCTCAGTTTTAAATTTCACATTATTAAATGTATTGTTTTATTAATAATTAATAATAATTAATTAATAATATTTATAGCGCAATTAATCAAATTAATTTATTTTCTGTAATAAAAATTAATAATATTAAACCCTTTTATTATTTATAATGAAATATTCAAATATAATAAATAATATATTTATAGACAATGAAATAATTATGTACACATATTTTCGAATAATTTTAATTTTTTGCAATTACTTTGAAATCAATTGCAGAGCTTAAGTAGTTCCACATGGCGTATGAGTGTTATTGAGTTCTTTAACAGTACATTCATGCAATTTTATATTATCTTAATTTAACTATAATTGATTAATTTATTTATTTAATCATTTTAGTCAGAAATTATTTTTTTTTTGATTTCTTAAGTTAAAATTTTTTTTTCCATTAAATAAGCTTTTTTTACTTAAAATATAAATAAATTATAATTGATATTATTTATTATTTTATTTTATTTTTAAATTATAATTATTAAATATTATAATTTACAAAATTATGATATTATTATACAAAATTATGAATTATGTTTCTATTTAAAAATATTGCTAACGTTACTAATATTTTTGACCCTTTTATCAGGGCAGAGTTATGTTATAATAACAGATTTTACAAACATAGAGTTGGTGCTATTTTTAATAGAATCAAAACTTCGAAATAAAAATAAATAAATAATAATAAATAATGAAAATAATAATAACAATTAAAATGTTTGCTATTGTTGAATTATTAGATAGCTCGTACTAATATTGTCGGTTCATTTGTCCTGTTCATTACGAACTATATTCTTATCTATTACTTAGTTGGCAGCTGTGCTTCTCTATCTGATTCTTTAATATAAGTTCCCAATGTTCGTTTAGTGTTACTATATGTATTTGTTTATAGTTTTCCTCGGCACAGTTCACCTGATATATACTATATTTATATATACTTTTTAATCTCACTTTCAGATCTCTGCCATTTTAGGTTTAACAGGATACTATTATTAAACTAACTATTATAATATATGGTATCAAACTTTTAAAAAATTAATTTTTTATCCAGAGACACTTAGTTGTAGGTCGGTCTTTGGAAAAAATATAATTTTAGACAGTTATAAAATCGGTGAGAATGTAGACACAGGAGAAATTTTTAGTTCTCCAATTTCTCCTCTTCTCTTCTCTCTCATTTCCATCTACATATTATAGGTTTTTGCTTACTGCAGTATTTTCTGTTGTAAGTAGATGCTCTTAGAAAAGCTATAGCGTACCTTGAAATGGATAATGTATTGATTAGGAATATATAGACTAAATCAGATAAAGAGAGAAGGACTGCTTTGAAATTCTTATTTTCAATCCAATTTATACCTAGGGCTATTTTAGAATGTATTTTTAAGTGATAGTTCACATAATTCAACATTGATCTTCTTAATAATCGTGTAGCAGATGAACTGGGTCGGACGAGACCGCTCGCACATTTGACCCATGAAGTACTTATTCGAAACAACTAAAAGATCTGAGCATACTGCGTGCAAACTGTTATTGAAATCTTTCTGTATCGAGAAATTTAATTAAAAATAGGAAGATTCAATGATATGCAGATATGAGTTCTATTTATTTAAAATAAATCTAGCAGTCTTATTAAAATACCCTGTAAGAATACAACTTTTGGTTGTAAACGAATCACAACCGTTTAGGGAACTGTTCAAGAATATTTAATCTTCCATTTCCATTTAAAGATTTTAATCGCAATTGTTGGGAAAAGGAAGAAAGTGCTTTACAATAAATATAAGCAAACGGTCTTCCTAAATATTCAGTTTGGGAGTCTTTTTATTATTACTCTATTTATTGAGTTACCCGAATTTCGATGTTACAGTTACATTAACAGATTATTATTTTTCATTTGAGACTTACTTTACTTGGACTCGATATTTAAATCATCCAATTTAGTCATAAACCGGAATTGTGAAATTTTGACTTCGAATTATAAATTCATAATTTAGACATTCTAATATTTTAAAATCGAATATTATATATTTTTATTATTCTTTCAATTCTTAGGTTTTGCCCATCAGTGTTTTTGTATTTAGGCAGTATAGTACCTGCAATTTGGCTTCTGGAATTGGATAAAGTCGAACGCCGTTTATCTGGTAAATCTAATACTGGAACAAATGCCAGTGATCAATCACCACTCGATAAATTCGATAACTTACTAGGCGATACAGGCATTGATATGCCTCAAATAAATGTTGATACATGGACTACTTTAATTGAACAATTTCTAATGTTGATTCTGATTGTTGGACGTTGGTTACTTCCAAAAGGTGATCTAACGCGGGATCAACTAAGTCAGTTGCTTTTAGTTTATATCGGTAATGAAGTTTTTTGTTTAAAAATAATTACGTATTTTATATACAGTTTAATAATTATAATTATTAAGGTACGGCTGCTGATATAATAGAATTTTTTGATTCATATAAGGATGATTCCATAGCCAAGATACCGCTTTTGGTATATTTAACTCTTGGCATTTGGTCATGGAGTCTTTTACAATTCACTATTGTTTTATCAGCGACTAGAGCACGTAGACCACGCGGCAGTGGTTCACAACAAAGCGATGAGTTAGTAGAAGGTCTTAGTCCTAATTATTATTCTATATATTAAACTTGTAAATATTTCAGTCCCACCGGTTGCTGCGACAACTGCTGCTGCGGAATTGATGTTTGGGGAATTGTTCTCAATGTTATATTACAGGATGCGCCCTTCCTGACATTTCGTCTACTCATCATTTTTCAATATAAAATTATTAATTACATGAACGTCTTTTTCACTTGTAAGTTAATGAGTAAATAAATGAAACTTTTGACTAACAGTGGCATAAGATAACAGCATATCCCTGACATATATTATTGAACTATATTGTACATATGTAAAATGTTTAAATATTGCAGGCAAAAATTCATTGGTCATTATTTTGCAATTATATCGACTTTATGTTGTGAATGCTGAGTTTTGGAAACATCGTCGGGAACTCAAAAATGCTTCAAAATCTCGACATTATAAGTCACGACGAAGAGTACGCGATGAAGATGCAAATAGTATCTATATGATATCCTCCGAACGAGGCACGGATATGAAGAGAAAAATTAAGAGGTAAAATATTATTTTATTTTTAAATGTAATATTTGAGGTTATTAAATATTATTAATTATTAAATACCTGAGACATCATCTTGAACACATCAATATGTAATACTTCGTGTTATACATAAGAGAAATTACTTACTTTTAAACTAAAATGATATATTATATTTTATATATAATATATAATATTCTAAACATAATCTCTTTGAAATTGCTGAATTATAGCAAAAATTGATTCTTGACATAAAATTATTAAAAAATATATTTATGCATATGTATATATATCTATATACCAATGTATTTATATAAATAATCTATGTATGTATGAATTAAATTATTGATTACATACTATCCTTGCATAGTTTTATTCAAATTGAATAATTAACTATATTTATATCAATCGGGAATAAAATCATAAATAATTATTTCTTTTTTTCATAGAGCTAAAGACTATGTAGAAGATGATTATGATCATAAGAAAAAGGCGAAGAAAGACAAGTAATACACAAATATTTTTTCCTCCATAAATATATATCAAAAATAAATTATTTTATGAATTCCCCACTTTAGAAAAAAGAAACGGAAACGAAAGGATACCGGTTACTCTACTGGCAGCTCCCAAAACCTTTACTCGACGAAAATCGTACACGAGAAAGACTCAAGACGCAAGGACAAGAAAGGCAAAAAATCTAAACGAGATCGTAGCAGTTCTCCAAGTGGCAGTGAAAACGTGGATGCGAAGAAAGGAAGGCGAAATAAAAATGCTGATAAGAACGATAAAAAGTTGGTTGAACGAAAGGTTCGCAATGAATAAGAATTAAACTATATTTAACATATTCTCTTTCTCTTGCAGAAAATCAAAAAGAATCGAAGCGGTTATTGAAGAGTCATTAAATTCTAGTAATTCATCGGATTCTAGTCACTCAACGCTACCTAGTTATGAGGTCATCAATGAAAAGAAACAAAAATCGAAACGACATAAGCGCTCTTCAAGTTCATCCAGCTCAACAGATTCTTCAGATAACTCGTCGTCCGAATCGTCCTGAACTGATGCATAAGAGCTTAGGAGTAGAAGTCGTTAGAAAATTTGTTAAATCAAATAAGATTTTTTTGTATTTGTAGTCCTAAAAAATAGGGCTTTGAGGTTATTAAGCATCTCATGAGATTTTTGTCTTTGTTTCAATTTCTTGGAAGAAATTGAAAACGAAAAATATTGAATATTTATAAAAAAAACTATAAAAAAGTTGAAAGAAATTTGTAAGGAGATAATACTTTTGTACTGTTGAATATCATAAATTTGTATTAAAAAAATGTTATGAAATAAATATATATATTTGCGCTTATACAAAATATGATCACTTTAGTTTGCTTCAATATATTTAGATATATTTTTCTGTACTCTAAAAGATACTTAAAACATAATAATCTGCATTAATAATTCATTCAAGTTAAAAATTTTAAACTTTGACGTACAGATCTGAATATATCTACCAAATAGTTTACACAAATTTACTGACATGAATGAAGAAATTTAATCTTTCATTTCATTTTCAAAATATTAAAATCGGTTAACGAAATTCGAATTTTTTGATCGATGCACTGAAATGAAATTTGGATAATTTTGGGAACATTTTTTATGGGAGTACTTTCTTAAGAGTATGTCAGACTATTCATCAACAGCAAGTAGAAATAAGCTCAACAAAATTAATCTAACTTATGTGAATGATTTCTATTGAGAAACGTAGTATTAATAGCTCGAATAGTCGTTAATTATGAATAGTCCGTATAAGAGTTATCAGCTACTATAACCAATCGATCAAACATAAAAACAAACTACTAGTATTACAAACTTGTTATTTAGATTTTATTAAAATTTTTGTTTCAATATATTTTTTGGACCTTACCATTGGGTGTGAAATATAATATTTTTTTGGCTTCCAATGGGACATTTTTCAGTTTATGATCCCTTTAAGACAATTTTCAATTCATTGCTAACACATAGCTAACAATAGTTTTGTCAGAGACTGAGTTTGATTAGAGTATTGGCCTTACATATGAATAACCAGTTGAACAGCAATAATGGATCAGAACTAATGAATCCCCAAGTGTTTATTGTAATTATTATTGTCTATATATATATTATATATTATATTATATTTATATTGTATTTATAACTATATTTTTCGAATTTTGTTTGATCTTTATTGCAGACTTTTTATTTTCATATTCCTTTTTTTAATAAGAGGTGGACCCCAATTGAATATTCTTCTGTCGAAATCTTCTACAGTTAGAGTTTCAATATATTTAATTGCAATATGCTTTTGATGACAGAATTGACTTTTGGTTATTCTAAGAGAAATTATTAGAATAGACTTTCCAAATTATTTTAGACTTTCCAAAGATTAGTATTATACTAAACGATGGCGACAGCAAAAACAACTGAAATATATGAGAAGTAGGAAATGTTAGTATAGTGTCAATTTTATTAACATCTAACGAAAAAATTTTGGAAGAGGTATGTTATGCAATATCAAACTTTGTATTGATTTAAAAAGAGAAGACTTTTTTTTAAATATATAAATATTATAACATAATAATTTATTTTAGATGTACAGCATATAAATATTATGGCTTTCATATTTTTTTCATCATTTTCGCACTATTAAAATATAAATTTATACTATTATTTTAAATAACATAATTTTAATATAATAATATATGTAATATATTAATATATAGCATATAATTAATATAATAATAATTAAATATATTAAATATAAGTATTAAATACTATATAGTTTGTTTCTCCACCTGGGGTTTTTTAATAATGTTTTTTATATATTTTATATCCAGCTACAGGTCACCTTTTTAAACATTTTTAAAATGAAACGTTTGTTTAATATTTTTTAATATATACAAAGGTTTTATTTTCAAAAGAAAAGTGACCTATAGCCGGATATAAAATTTGTTAAAAACATAAATACTTTTATCATAAACTAGCAGACCCGACAGACTTCGTTCTGTCAAAAAGATTTGGAATGTGGCAGTTTTTTGTTCCTACCTATTTTATAGTCGGGGCAAAAAATCTCCTGAACGGAACAGTCTGGGATCCACTAAAAAACCCCGACTGGGATGTCTGTCAGAGGGTTTCAAACTTAGAGGTGAACTTAGGGTTCAAACCTGATTGGAAAATAATCTAAAGGGACAGTGAAAACCTAAAGGTGACAAATATGTAAATAGTGGGTAGCTCGCTTGGATAGTGGAGATAATGATCAGCAAAGGAAGTCATGGGGATTTAATAAACCTACCTACAATAAATAAAAACTTATTACAACACACAAACTCATCTATTCTGGTTGGACCAATTTGGAATTAGCAATAATCCGATTTTTTTCTCGCCGTAAAAACCATTCTTGGACTTCAACGAACATTGAAAAAATGAATTGACCAAATTGGTCCAGGCGTTGTTGAGATATGCGCTTATATATAAGATCACTTCTTATAATAACACTTCAGTTACGAAATATTAACAAAAACAAAATGCATTATGTCGCTTTTTCACTGGATTTTGCTATTTTACAATTTTACGATTTTATAATTTTACAATAGTTTATTGTTTTAATGACGAAAAATTTTTAATAATAATTTTATTTTTTTACGGGCTAATTTTAAATTGTTTTTTGTTTTTAATAAAAGTATTTACATTTTATAATATCCTGATGATGACAATAAATTATAGTCGAAATATCGTTTAAAATAAAATCTCTTAAAAACAAAAAGTTTAAAAAGTTTGTTATTTCACTATTGACCAATTAGCCCGTAAAAAAACAAAATTATTATATTTTTACAATTTTACGATTTTTGGATTTATTTTCCTATTACACAATCTTTAAAATTTAACCGTCGTTTCAATTATTATAAGTGGTAATAAGCAAAGATCGTATTGACATTGTAATGAGTCATCTTGTAATAATATGATTTTCAATTTACGGTCTTCGCTACACGGTCTTTTTGATTTGTGTAACTATACGCAAAAACAAAAATAATAAATTCTATAAGATGTCGCAGTTCGCTCTTATACACTTTAGAGCTTTCGTTGAAGCATACCAACATTAGATGTCCAATGAACACAATCCACATTTTCTACACACCGTATATTTTGTTATTATGATTTTAACAGAAATTAATACAATTCTGTTAAAGAAAGTAAGATCACAACTTGCATTTGTAATAATTGTTTATATGACGGCTTTACTAGGCAAAGCAAATTGTTGCTAATTTTTACTGCTTTAAGCAGATCAATTTTTTGTAAAAATTTATTAATGAAAGAAAATGTTTGCTTATTTACTTGAAGAAAACAAGCAATGTAACAAAAAATTATTGTTACATATGTACATATGCACATATTCTTTACATATTTATATATATTGATTGGTAAAATATTTTTAAATTTTAGAAGCAACGATAATTTATGCATTGGCACTTAATATCAATAAACTGCGTTGAATAAAATTTGGTACACTATTTCTATGATATGTTTTATTGAAAAATATGTTATAGTATTATTCCAGTTAATTTATTTATTTTTAATATGTTTAAATATATCAATTTTAATAGTTATATTATAATATTATAATATATGTACTATAATATGCTTAAAATTAATAACTATTAATTTAAATAGTTATACATATAATAATAAATTATATAGAATAAGTTTGTAGAATTAATTATACTACATTATATAACTTTTGTGGATATGTTTGGGTTAGATATATTTCACTCCCAATAAAAAAACGTATGTATTTAACAATGAAACATACTACAGGAATAGTGTACCTAAATTTATTCAAGGCAGTTTAATTGATATTAAGTGCCAATGCACAAATTATAGTTGCTTCTAAAACTTATAAAATACTGTGGCTATCAAAATAAGTACACATAAAATAAAAACAATTAAAATATGATTTGAAACTTGTTTTCTTCAAATAAATTTTTACGGTCTTCGCTACACGGTCATTTTGATTTGTGTAACTATACGGTATATGACTTTTTATGCTTTTTCTCATGTAATAAACTTAGAGAGCTTTCACATTAATGGGCTTTAATAGTCGTCAGTCGCACACATACGCATATGTATAGGAAACGACACCAACTGTGTTGTTATATTGTGTTCAGCATAGAATTGAAGAGCAACAGTTTTTCAGTTGTGTTTGGATCGTTAAACGGTGCGGTTGTTGTTGCGGTTGATAAGCGATGTAAATAGTAAATAAATAGTAAAGAGTAAATTGCGCCTTTTAATTGACAAATATTTTTTTATTTACTATGAGTTGCTTTTGTGTATGTTGAGCAGCATAAGTATTGCGTAAACTTTGTCATTGTTGTTGTTCTTGACGCCCAACAACTATTTAATTTATTTTTTTTTTTATTAATTTTTAATCGTCTACATAAACTAAATATAAAATGCTTATAAACTATTATTCACACGTGCCGTGATTTGTGCATATAAATTTAGTTTGTTTTCTATGTTAACTATTTCTGTTAATACAAGAACCTGACATCGTGGCTGTGTGTTTAACTTAAAGAAACAAAGAGCACAACAATTCATTTTGTTGCTATACGAGCTGGTGGTGAAGAAAATGTTTAAAAAAAAATTTACTTAAACCCTATAAAAATAAAATAAATACAATTCAAAAGCAAAACCAAAAAAATTATTGCCATTGATTAAATTTTTGAATAATTTTTTAGAAGAGATCAACAATTGCCATATTCAACAAGTTGACAAAGCTTGAGGTGAGTGAGTTGGTTTAAAATATATGCCTACTTTAGCTGTTGTTTTTGTTTGTGTTTTCTTTATTGTTATTTTTTTCTGTTTTGTTGTCTTGTTTTGTTTTGCTCTCGTCTTGTTGTTGCTTTATTTGCCTTGCCTTGCCTTGCCTTGATAATATTGTATGATATGTGCGCTGAGCTATCAAACAAAACAATTAATTCCCTTCCTATTATGTGCTTCGGTTTCGATTCCTTATGTACGCGCATTGTGTAATGTAAACAATTTTTTCTTTGATTTTTAAATTTTTTAATTTAATTAAATTAAATTTTCAAAGCATTCAATTCAAACGCTGCTCGCTCTGTTTCGAGGCAGATTTGTGCTTTGTTATCTAAACTTTTGATAAGCACAAAAGCCAATTTACGGTATTTGTAATTACAGCTGCTTTGAATGGATTGAATAGCTTGATGATAGACTAAAGTTGAAAATTATTATCAGTCAATTGCACTATAGAAGATTTCACAATAATGCGCTCCACAAAGTCGCTCGCCCCTTTACTATCGTCAAGTATCACAAAACACTTTCCGAAATGCACAAAAGAATCACTCGAACCAAATGGTATCATGAACCGCCTTAAATATGAAATGACATGGAATTATTTCCATAGAAAAAATTTAGTTAAAGAAAATTTTGTTCTATTTATTGTGTATGAAATGCAGAAATAATCAAAGAAAAAAGTAACAAAAAAAAATTTAATAGCAAAATAATTTTAATAATTTATCTTTGATCCTTACAATATAATCAAGTTATCGCACAGCGCTTCCTAAGGAGTGTTATTATGTACTTCACAAACGCATAATCTAAATTCCGAGAGAGAATCAAGTCGCACCCAAATCCTCATGTTCAAAACTTATCTTCTGCACTAAATTGTCTTAGAAATAAATTATGATTAATGATTTTTTAAGATTTTTAAGACTCGCAAAATTATTGTCAATTACTATTTCGAAAGATTCAACAAATAAACTAATGACAAAAAAAAAAACAAATGCTTATAATTTCTTAAGTGAACTGAAATAAGTTGTAATAACGTCACGAGACCCATTTCGAAAAAAATTACACAAAGGAACTAAAATTCTGAATCATGCATTAACGTACACACATACATATATAAATCATGAAAACACTCACTTATAATTATCATTTTCTTTATAAGTCGTCGGAACTAACTTGTTTCAATAATATTACCCAATTTTTAACCTTTTGTTATACTTTAATATATAATATATTAGTAGTGTGTCAACATTCAAACATGAAACTGTTCGAGCATCGAACTATACGTGTCAAAAATATATATGTAGGTTATATACGTATATATATCATCCAACAATCAGTCGTATATAGATCAAATGAATATTCAAACAGTTTGATACTCAAACAGTTTGTTACGCAAACAATCAGAGTATCGTCGGGTATGCTCGAATTCGAAAACTTGAAACGAACACTACAAAAATTCGGAAATGGGCTAGCCATTCAATGTATTCGAACAACAAATCTGTTTCATGTGCATTTTATTTTTGATTTTCTTAAATAAATACGAATAACAGCAAAAGTTCGATCACAATTTGGTGTTCCAACATATTCAAGTTATTCATTATTAACTTAAAAGTCAACTGTTCGTATACAAGCATAGTCGAACATAGAAATGCTGGACTATTAGAATAGATCAAATAATATTTAAAATCGTAATTAGTACCCACTAATCAAACTTAAAAAATAAATTTGAATAGTCAGTCAAAAATGTGCATGTAGATCATATATTTGTCACCTAAACCATCAATGATTACTGTGTAGACCAAATAAATATCTAAACAGTCTATATCGATCGTTTCGCTGAGATGTGATAACCACTTTATTCGATTTTGTCACCTATGACAAAGGGTGATGCATTGTCTGCATTTCGTTATGGTTATACATTTGGACTGAAATGCATAACCAGAGCCATTGTATTCTCACAGCAGAATACGGACAATACTAGGACACAATACTGAGATCATCAGTTCTCATAGATAGATATTCATAAGTATGTCGAACAGTCCGCTAAGATGCAGTAACAACTATATTTTCCTACCGACGGTAAAGTGAGGGGCTTTATTTAGTAATGTATTTTGGATTGAGACACACATAACCAGAGTCGTGGTATTCTCACGGCACAATATTTTGATTAGTGTACAAATCAAATAAAAATCTAAACAGTCAATATTGAATACTCAGCTGAGATGCGGTAACCACTATATTTACACTTTCCTACCTACGAAGAAGCATCAGGCTATATTTATCGTAAATTACCAAAGCGATTCTCAAGGCATAATGTGGAACGTACTAGGCTCGTCAATTTTAATTAGTGTATGAGTTGATACACTATAAATTGTAAAGTCGACAATTTTTTATTGGATTCATTGGTTCCAAATTGTTTAGGACGACACTGCGTATAAGTTTGTTATTTTAGTAATAATAATATCACTCATACGTAGCAGCTACCATTAATTTGAGTATGCTGGTTTACATGAAAACAATATGTCCGAGAATTTTGGAAAAAATTTTTCAATAAAATAAAGATGTCTTTACCATTCTTTTTGCTATGACCATCTTCTTATTCTTCATCTTTCTTGAGGCTGTTTTCAGTTTCAGTAGCTATGTTATTATTTGAATATGACTGATCGATATACAAATCTTTTGTAATCTTAGCTATTTTATATTTATTTATTCGAAGGAGCTTATTTCTTTCTAAATAAAAATTATTAATACCATGATGTTTTGTTAAAGTGTATGAGGATATCTTAATGCAAACATTTGTATATTCCTTATTAATTGAATATGTTGTTTTTTTATTTAGAATAATAGTTCTGACGTCATTACGTACATAAAACTTTTATATTTAATGAAATTAGCTTGTAATTTCTTTAATATGTCATCAACTTTTCGTTTTCACACTTCCAACCATCATTGGAATCTATAGGAACTATTTTAATTGATAAAAACAAATTACCCAAGGAATTTCTCTATTAAAAATGAAATATTTGTATATGTAGTAAAACTGTAATTAATCACTATTATTTAATTCTGAAGTATTTTGTTTTTTTTTAGAATATCTTTATCGATACTTAATCAAATATCAAAACAAAGTATGGTATAATAAGTGTTTTTTCACTTCAAGTGAGTTTTTTACGACAATGATTTACTTACATATTTAGTCTATGAATAATTATATCAGAATGTAAATTACAATACTATGGTATATATAGAAGGGTTCGTTATTATATGACTAATGTTCATATTGATTATTTTGAAGTATTCGTTGAATCTTTTTTATTTCTGAATGTATTGAAGATACTTATAAAACTGTTGTATTAATGATCCAGAGATTCATATGATATGAATAAAATTATTATTAATAAATTTTTGAGGAGTTTAGATCAAGTTCTTTATTTAAAATATATAATTTAAATTACTGAATTTTGTTTTAAATTCAATTTTGTTTTAACTACCGTCGTAATATTTTAATGATCTAAAATTTGGTTTTTAATTAAAAACTTGATTTAAAGTCCACAAAAATTTGTTAGTAAATAAAAACAATAAACTAATCAATAAAAAATCAATTAATGCAGTTATTGTAAATTACTCTATATCGACATTTAAACTTCTTGAGAACTACTATATTTATTTTCAGTTTTATTTTCTTCACTTTTCAAAGAGTATCGTCTCGCGTTGTCCTCTTCTCCTCGTGGAGCATAAGTCCTCTACCAAAGAGTACAAAGATTTAAGACTTTGTTTTAAGCAGCTATTATTATTTCCTCCTTTTGTAGAGTCTTATTAATATACCATTAAAAACGTTTTTTTTTTTAATTTCTAATAACTAAAAACTATTTTAAAGTCTATGAAGTTTTTCATTTAATTGTACTCAAAAGTAACATGATAAATTAGAGAGATCTATGATGTTATAGCTTAATGTTGAGAGCCAATCGTTATAGGTTATTGCTCTTTCCAATTATTTATGTCATACATTCTTAAAGTAAACTGTTATTTTTAATTACTTATTAACAAATCAGTAATTATAATAAATTATTGAATTAACATTTTTTAAAAAAATTGTTAATTTGATTTGTATTCTAAACATATAACTTTTCATATTTACAAATTTTAGACAAAATGTACAAAATTAATTTAATTAAGCCTTGAAAATTAATTTCTGTTTTTTCTTCTTGTTGCTATTTTTGTTTATTCTTACTAACATACTCTATTGTATTTTAAAAATTTGCATTGAGTTCGAATAATAAATTTAGCACGAAAAGTATATTAATTCGAAGACACCGTACACTTCCAGACGCACGAAAATCGCAACTTTCCGCATCCGGTAAAAAACATCATTGATGGCATGAATTTCTCAAAAAGTTATTCAACTGAGAAGTTCAAAACAATCAAAGAAATTGCTTAAATTAATGTTAAAATCAGTGAAAATTTGCATAAACTAATTCTTGAGTTGAAAACGAATAAATAGAAGAATCTATAACAATATCTTAGCTGATAAATAAAATCTAAATAAAAATATTAGCAAATAGTTTTTATAAATTTTCGTGTGATTTTCCAGTACTCAACTATCAAATCTTATCAGTGTTTATAATTTTTGCGCACTATATATACTGATTAAAATAGTTCAAAAAGTTGATTGTATTCTTTATAAATCTTTAAATTTTCATAAATCAAAAATTTATTTAATTCCTACTGATTTATTAAGTCAACTGAAGTTGAATACTTCATACCATCACATAATCACAAAACAAAATAATTTTTGATATTTGATATTATGTATATAATTTTCCACAAAAACATATATTAAATTGATTTTTAACCTCCGTTTCGACGAAAGAAACTAAATTCTTAATAGAGAGAGAGAATAAATTGTTCGACATATCTTTCAGTAGAGAGATATGTCGAACAATAGTTAATTACAACAAAAAAAATGTTTATA